ATGTTTTTGTTGATTTCCGGCGGCCATATTGGTGCACCAAAACGGTGCACCAATATGGCGTCTCCATACAAAGCTCTACAAAGGTGCGTGAAACGTTTCGGCAAGTAACTCAGAAACTATGGGCCACAAAGACCTGAGACTTGGACAAATTGTTTATATATTAGTCTTTTACAACATTTCATTTTCTTGGCTTCTTCCTCTGGACGGTTTCCAATTTAATTTTTTGTTGCGTGACAGTGAAAACGATCTATTAGATCATTTACGGTAACTATGTTACCCCTGTCTCCCTCTCATTTTGGGCAAATACCCAGGCCCTATTAGTTTTCGCCGAATATCAGAGTACTATTGATGTTACCTAAGGTTACGTTCACACGCCGGTCACCGGACGAATTTTCGACAGGCTGAAAAATTTGACCGGGCACTTTGTTTACACTGGGCCGTTCAATATTTTTGCTCTGTTCACACGGAACTTTGAATGGCTGGCGTCTAAATTTTCATTCAGTTAAGGTGTTTCCCTGAGAACGCTAAACCGTGAAACGCACGAATTTTCAACCGGTGGAAAATTCGTTAGGTGCCTTGTGAACATATAGCCTCATTAGAGCGATTTTCGTATGACCTTGAAAAATGGTTTCAGAAAGCGTTCGTTATTTGTTTTATCACCCAACGGATGAAAAGATCAAAACATGGCCTCTTCGTTTTCCCGCCAAAGAAAACCCTAATATAAAGAAGGCCAGGGCATTGTTCGATTGGCTAATCGTGTTACAGTATAAGGTCAAAGAGAACTATCGGTTGATGTCTGGAAAGTTCGCTTAACCAAGCAAAAGTCACCTGCGTTTTTATCCATTCGATAAACCAATCAAATCGCTCTATTCCCGTTCCTTTTTTGTTTCTGTTTTGTTCGCACGTTTTCATCTCAAGGTCATACGCAAATCGCTCAAAAAAAAAAGAACGAGGAAAAACACACCAATTTCTTTTAGAATACACGCACGCGCGCTTTTTGTCAGTAATTTTTCATTGTTTAGTCACAGCGGATTCCAGGCACTTTCAGTTGTTTGACTTGTGACTTTGAAAGTACGTACACCGTTTAAACGATAGGAATGCATCCGTTTGGAGAGACGCCCCAAGATTGTAACTTTCATGATCAACAAAGAGAGAGAAACGGTTTAGAATGGAAATTTGCCTCAAAAGCATGCAAGCTTCAGTTGATGGAGAAATTTAATCTTCCAATTATTCAACCAACAGTGATTCAAGCTTTACCAAGCTTTCACCAAGCGCTTCCAGCAAGTCGGCGTTTCGTAAAAGAAAAACGATGTCCACCGAACAGTCCAACCAAAGAACGAAGAGCAGAAGCAAAACTTTTAGATACATTAGCCATGGGCCGGGTTTTGCCGAGCCTTCCAAGGATTGAGAATAAAGTTCTGCCGAGCGTAGCAAAAAGAACGATTCCTTCAGCGAGGCAGCTACCGATTGTTCCGACAATCCAAGAACGAAGTTTTCCGAGTACACAGTTGCCAGAGATAAAGTTGCGCACCAGAGTAAGAAAGATGAGACGAGTATTGCCGATTATTCCAGCGTCGCAGACACGAACTCCTCCGAGTATTCCACTGCTGGAAACACGAGATCCGCCTACAGATCCTCCTAGTATCAAACTCACTGCGGTAAGGCCACCATCAAAATGGCGAGGAGCTCCTCGCTGCAAGCGACTGCTACCAAGCCTTCCAACGATTGAAGAACAAAATTGTCCAGATTTTTCATCCAATGAAGCGAAAACAACCGAACAAGAAACCACGTCACAAGAAAAGACGATACCTTACAGTTTACAGCAGAAAGGAAAATCGTCTTTGGAAAGTCTTCAACAAAAAGGAAATGATCTGCAAGGTAAGGAGGAGGATATACAGATGATTAAGCCACTGAAGACTAACGACGTGCAACAGACTACGAAGAAGTTAGCGAAAGACGCCAAGAAAACAATTCAGACAAATGAAAACAAAGGGCGTCCAAGCCTCAGACCCATAGACAAAGAACTCCCTCCCAGCATTAAAGCAAAAGTTTTGGAAAAGGAAGATCGATTATCCAAAGACAAAGAAGCAAACCAGCTCAAAGTGAAAGAAATCTGTACAGGGAATCTACTCAAAAAAGAACAAAAAGATTCCTCTGAAAGAATAATAGATCAGAAAGTTCCAACACCACAATCAATAAGAGGGGCTGAAGTGATGGTGGACCACCCAGGTGGAAAACAAAGTACAGGAGTAAAGAGTTTTTCTAGAAGCACCTGCTTGGCATCAAAAAAAGTGCTATCGAGATGTAGTAGAAGGAATAGACAAGCCAAGCTAGATACTCCACAAGCGACGGACCAATTGTTATCCACACTGTCCACAGATAAACAAGGAAAAACTAGCTATCAAGTTTCAGAAGACGGGGCATTGCCCCGTGCTCGAGCCACAGCAAAACTTATTAAAAAGGGTGGGGAATCAAGGGCTGAACAAAAACTTTCAAGTTTCGGGAAAAAAGAGACTCTGGTAAAACCAGCAACTACCACGACATCAAACGATAGCTGTCATAAATGTGCACATTCACCCACATCCAAGGTATCAGGCGTGAGGGCCACGTGGTCTGAATCGAGAGAAATAATGCCAAGACCAGAGCCACACCCAAAAAGGCAGAATGCCTCGGAAATGCCTCAGAAGATAAACCAAAATCGCACAAACCTTTCATCAGTAAATAGTTATGCATTGTTGAACCTCATGGGGAGAGATTCAGAGGCATCTCTGCGGAGAACTGTGCAGCAACGAAAAACCGTTTATAAGCCGAGCTTTCAACAAAAGGTGGCTAGTCAGGGTGGTGTCACCCCATCGTCGTCAAACAGTTATTCGTTCTTAAAGCTTAAGAGGGAAAATTTTGAGATCCTGCCACGACTTAGACTTATAGCAAACAGAAACCGCACCGAGTCTCGCCCTTTAGCAGAAGCAAGAAACAGCTTGACAATAAAACCAGCCTTACCATGTATTCAGTCCACGCATGCGCAAGAGCCTAAGCCTCCAACAGTGGTTAAGAAAGGGCTACCAAGTGCTCGACCGAAAGCTCAAGACAGATGTCATATTAAAGTAAGTCATCCATTACCGGATATCCAGCCGGTTGTAACGCAGGCTTTACCGAACCTTAATTCATCAAGTTTGCAAAAGTTGGTAAAGAAACCGATACCCAGCATTGAAGGGGAAAAGGATTCCTGTTCTCCAGACCGGAATGCTCATACGGCACGATAGTGGCCTTTACAGTCCAACCATTTGAGAAAGAGACTAAAGAAAGTTTAAATAGGGTTTGCTTGTTTATTGAAAGAAACTAAGCAAACTGCTTTAGTTTCTTGAAAAGTTTATTACTATTTTCCTTAATATGTCGCACAAATATTGCCGATTCAGCTCGGTCTATAACTCAGCACACATTAGCTTGAAAACAATGCAGGACCTTTTTTTTAACTTCAGCGGCCGTAAAACAGGGAAAGGATCTATTATCTTGAATCTAATTTAATTTACCGAGAAATTGGAGAGCCAGTTCAATGGAATATCAGTGTAGTTAATTGTAGTTAAACAGCTACAAAAGCGAATTCTCTGGCGAACAGCGCGGTCCAACACCTTAGCTCGTCATAACTATCATTTCAACTATTCCGGTCCTTGCTCAACCTCTGTGTGCTTCAAATTCTATACTTAGCGATCTTCAAGCGAGAATCAGCCGGACATTGTCGAGTTTTCCACGATGACTACTCGGCAGAGTTCGGTTGATTCTCGTTTGACATGCCGTAAATAGTATTTTTGATAGCTTGAAAATGAAAACTGTACACTTGATTTAAAACAAAAGGGGTTCTAACTTTATGTACGCCGGTTGCCAGAAATAAAACAATTTTAAAAACCTATTGAGATACTTTCCTCTTCTCGCGAGAGGCTCTTTTGATGCGCGCTTTTATGTATTTTGCTCGCCCTACTTATCCTGCGGAAGATAATAGACTTAACTGGAAGTCTAGAGTATTAGCCTTTTTGACTTGAGTCTGGCCGGGACGGTGTTGCAATATAAGGCTGCTTTATGGACGCTATCACTTCTTTTACTTGAGCAGGGAACTGGGTTAAAGTCCGAGATAGTGAACCTTCCATCGTGAAATTTTCCTTCAAAATTTTCTTCAAAAGATTTCAATGATTGACATACCGAAGTCTTCAAAGGCCCCTTTTATTTGTTGTCTTTCTTTTTAGCAGGCATTTTGAAACTAAAATGTAAAGCACGTCCCATATGACCTTATCCTAGTCCCCTGCTGGGGTTTTGGCCTGGCTAAGATATCTGAATAATATGTGTATTCAAGGACGGTGTTCAAGCAGTTGCAGATAATATGCGAGCATCCATGGATCTATTTCAAAAAACTGGGTTATCATTTCAAAAAGTTCAAAAAAAAAGATAAATGTGATTAATAAATCTCAATGATAAACCTGATGATAACGGTATTTGAGAAAATGTGAAAGGCAAACTTTGTCATTACCATTCAACCCAAAACTGTCCCCACTTATTGACATCACCAGACCGTTAGCTGTAATAACACTGAAGTCATGCCCTTGTGCATGGCCTAAGTATTAGCCTCCACAGAGGGGGGAGGGGTGCGAGAGGTAAACTATATCTGTGCCGGGCCAAGTGGTTCGAGCGAATTAAAACGCATTACTGCATGAAAAAGCCTCGGAAGACGTAGTCTAGCCAACATCCCCCTCCCTCCCCCTCCCTCAAAATAGGTTATTTTGACACAACAGCAATCCTGACTGACTCAAGCGGAAATATTCAATTAGAAATAACCGCAGATGCTAATTTTTTGTTCATGCGCACCAACGACGACAATCTTGAAAAATGACTGTCAAAAAATTACAATTGCGTCAATTCTTTCAACCGAAAATAGGGAAAAAAAACCTTTGTGATGCCATTCGATTCCATCATCGTCAGCTACTGATGCTTGCAAAGCAGTGTGTAACGTCATGGAGTACTCTGTCTGCTTATTTATTCTTGTGAGCTATGTTGAAATTGCTCACGCCAGAGTGTTCTCGGCTGATCTAAATGCACGTTCCGTGAATCGCCGTCCAAGGGATGTGCAAAATTCCGTGTTAACACCGCTACGTTTTCATGTAGCGTCCAAAATATCTGCACGGTTTGCAAGTACACTTGTGACAAGTGTCATGGAGAACAAATCTCCACAGAACAAGGAAGCTTTGTTTCGTGTTTACCTTCCTCAAGCTGCCTTCATCTCCAACTTCTCGATGGTAGTTGGTGACAAACTGTACCTTGGACAGGTGAAGGAAAACACTGCAGCTAGAGAGGAGTACGAAAACGCGAAGAACAACAGTTTAAATACAGGGCTTGTAAGTCAAAGTAACGACCGCGCTGTACGAGGAATGGATAGATTTGAAATCAGAATTAACGTGGCACCTAACAGCACGGCTGAATTTCGTTTAAACTATCAACAGCTCTTGGAAAGAAGAAAAGGATTCTACGAACAGGTAATTAGTGTTCGCCCGAAACAGATCGTCCCTCTGCTCAACATTTCACTTGATATTCAAGAGCCTCAAGACCTAAGCTATGTGGACGTGATGAAGATACGCAAAGAACCGAGCGATTCGTTGGTAAAGGGTAATCCTCTAGCTGTGACTAGACAGGCATCGCCTAAATCGGTTTATATCGAGTACAGTCCAAGTGAAGAAGAACAAAAAAGGCAGGGATTTGATGGAATTGACGGAGACTTTATAGTAAGGTAAACAAGATTTGGTATGTGACCTTTGTAATTTAAAAACACAATTTAAATAATTTATACATTATAAATTTGCGTTGTACAGATCGAAGCAGACTGGAGAATTCAATACATTTCTTGGCAACTTCATAATTCTCTTTCCTTATCTTATTTTGCAATGCTGTTTAATTACATTATATGCTCCTTTTTAATAGAAAATGCTTAGGAAACGCGCGTATATATATACGTTGCATGAGATCTGAATCATCTAACGAAGGTATGCGAAATATGACTTACTGCATGCAAACTGTGGATAGAGGATTAGGGGCGACAGCCAAAGACATCATTTTTCTCTAGAATTTTAATAACTGCCTCTTTTATTGTTTATTAGTTATAATGTGATATTATATTTTCAACTGTGATATTCAAAATATTAGTTTTGAAGGTGATCTACTCCTCTTATGACACTCTATAGAAAACCAATATCATTATTTCTGATAGCTAAATTATGCAAACGTATATAAGATAACCATATTTATTATTCATTCGAAATATTCCTCCGTTTCTGATTGCTAAAATCACACACATAATTCATCATAATCAGCTACTGCTGACCAAATTTGGAAGAATTTTGCCATACTGAACCGATGACGTCAAAAGTGCAGCAAAGTTGCAGATTATTGAACCGTTAACCGAGAAGACCTGGAGACCAGGTTGAGTTGTTTTGGTAGTGAAAACAAAAATGGCGGAACTTTTCACTTGTTTCACCAAGCAGAAATAGGCGAACTATTGGCTACAAACATAGCAAGAACAGCAAGAAGCTAGACAACTCGACGAACGACATCTGCTATTTCGAGAATATTTGCGGAGCTGAACAGCCCTTTAGCGTCTAAACATGCCGATAAACATGCACTATCGAAGATGAACTTAACATCAATGGAGGTAAGCATGTTTTCTTTTAGCTTGTTTTCAAACTAGGAATTATTTTGAATGAACAATAATACAATTATTGAATGCGGCTTTCGTACGTATCATCTGAAGAATTATGGAAATATCGGAGGGTGTTATCTGCCTCGGCCGCTCGATCTCCATAATTTTTCAGATGATACTCACCCTCATTCAGTAATTCAGTTAAATGAAGCCTGCAAAGCATGGGAAACTTCAAGCTCTAACGCTCTTATAAGTACTTTCAACAAACACTAAATAATTATTTTTGTACAGTTTTTAGTGACAGTTGCAGCTACAACTTTAAATTGCCCCCCTTTGTATCTCCCGCACGTATAATGTAATCGGGATTCCGAAATCCGTGAAGTTTTTGCTTAACGACGTGGAGTCCGGAATTCTGGTCTTCAGAATCCAGATTGGGCTCAGGGATTCCGGAATCCAGCTAAAGGTTGGAATCTGGAATCCAAGTTCCACTGACATGAATTTAGAACCCATTCCTGGGGATTTAGAATCTACAGCGTGGAATACAAAATCCAAGGCTGTCTTCAATTACCTTTAAAATAACTAAGATAGTACGCGCGCTCTGATTGGCCGAGAGGAGTGTTTGCATGAGAGTATGTTGTGACGTCAAGATGTTTTGCTTTTCGCGCGTTAATCACGCAAGCACAAATTTGAAAATGTTTTTGGTTCAAAACTCGACAAGTTTACTTTATTTATCCATTCTTTCGTCGACTGAAACTTGGAACATTGTTTACAAACAAGCTGTGTCAATTTTGACACTTTAAGCGAGAAAAATCCGTATTTTGGAAAGCATCTTTTTGCAAAACAAGAACTGATTACATGTGCAAGTCTTCGTGTACACGACTTTGCGACTGGTAAGAATTTCTCTTGTAATCAGTGCCATAACAAAGAGTTTTGAGTTTTTCTCGGGAAAGTTATTTTATAAATAAAGCTCTTTTCCTGTGTTTGCGAGAATTCGAGACAGTTATGCAAACCGGAGACGAAAGTCTCGGGTTTGCATAACTGTCTCGAATTCTCCCAACCTCTCTCGTGTTTAAATTAGGCTATGCAAACACGGAAAACGTTTTCTATTGGTTAAATGGTGCGAGATATATACGATGCTCCTGAGATATGCGATAAGGAAATTATGAAGGTGGAGGTTCTGTTCCTTCAGCACTAATTCCTGGATCTCTTCCTAGGTATGATGTGCATCACGGGAAAGATGAAAGCGTTATACAGGTACTTGGCTCCTATTTTGTTCAGTTTTTCTCTCCAAGTGGATTAAACTTGATCGCAAAAAACGTGGTCTTTGTGATTGATGTAAGTGGTTCTATGTCTGGAGAGAAGATTTCTCAAACTCGCGAAGCCATGCACGCTATTTTAAGTCAACTCCGTCCGGGGGACTCGTTCAATATCGTTCTTTTTAGTGGCACGGTATCTGTGTGGAAGTCTAAGGTATCCCTAGTCGATGCTGGAAGCATACAGGCTGCAAAAACGTTTGTGGACGAAAGAGTGAAGGCATCAGGTTCTACCAACATCAATGAAGCCCTGATTATGGCTCTCAATTTACTCAAGCACAGCATTCAACAATCAAACTCTGAAATTGCTGGCAAGTTTCCTATGGTGCTGTTTCTTACAGATGGGGAGCCAACGGCTGGAGAAACAAACACACTACAGATACGTCGAAACATTCTTGCCTCAAATGGAATTAAAGCGCCCATTTTTGCTCTTGGTTTTGGCTTTAGCCTGAACTTTGATTTCCTAACAGCATTATCCGCGGAGAATGAGGGAACAGCGCGCAGGATTTACCAAGACAAAGACGCCGCAACTCAGCTTGAGGGATTCTTTGACGAGATCAGCACACCTTTACTACTAAGAATCAGATTCGAGTACCCAGAAACCCTCGTGAATGAGAAACATACAACTGCACTTTCATTCGCACATTACTATAATGGATCAGAGCTTGTGGTAAGTGGAAAGCTTAAAGAGGGTGTTTCCTCTAGGATGATGTCCATGAATATTCGCGGTTATGACGGCCAAAAAAATGTCACGTACTCTCCGGCGTCACGCACTCTTCTTGAGCTGACTATTCCCTCGAATGAACTGCTCATAGAGGATCTGACCGAGCGTCTTTGGGCCTACATGAAGATCAAACAATTACTTGTTCAGCTTTTGGTCTCTACTAATGCCCACGAACAAGAACGTCTAAAATCTGAGGCGCTTCGGTTGTCACTGAAGTACAACTTTGTCACGCCACTAACCTCTTTCGTCGTGGTCCAGTCTAACGAGTACTTAGTAGCAGCGGACGCCAAGGTGGGCAGGGCTCAGTACTCTGCAGGACACGAAGTGCCTTTTCTTCGACTGTCATTCCTTTTGATCAGTTTATTCTATTTTGTGTTTGTCGAATAGACCCTGATGCCAGTTAAAAACTGTTATAACGTAGGACTAGAAAATGAGACTGCGCTGCTAACTCTCTCCAGGAACTGATTAAAGCATTTCAAATGTAAGACAATTAACATTCTTACACAGCAAAACAAGAAAACAAGACAGCTCTTAGGCCCGGTTCAGACGCCGAACTGTTCATGAGCCGAATCAAATTCGAATTAAGACCGAACCAAATTATTTAGATCGGCTAAATTGATTCAGACGCCGATCTTAATTCCAGCCGAACTAAATTCAGAAGGCGAAAAATGCGCATTTTGGTCAAACTGCTTACAAAATACGTTATAAGGATTTATGCTTGTTTCGGTACATGAAAAGTTCGGCGTCAGAATCAAAGGCGTTCCAAAGTCGATCCATAGGCGAAATTCCCGGCCGGGCTAGGCGAAAAGAACGGCTGAGCCGTTCCAAATTGAAATAGGCGTTCCTAATTGATTCAGACGCCGAACTTTTCATGTACTTAATTCAATGTATTAGGTTCGGCTCATGAAACGTACGGCGTCTGAACCGGGCCTTAGTACGCTTAGTGCAATTTCAATTACTATCTCCGATCCCCAGCAACAGGTTAAGAATTTCACTCGAACGTTGTCATTACATGAATCCTAGAGTTACATTAAGATGAGCTTGTGTTTCTGCAAGATCTAATGCTTTTCCCAGAAAGATAAGTGGGGAAAGGGACCATAAAAGCTTCGGAAGCCTTGCAGACCGTAAATGTGATAAGTCGCCTTTCTTTATTAATAAGAGACGAAAACTTAGTCAGTAACTGTGAACTCCCTTTAAGTGGAATAACCGAGAGTGTGCCACTGAACGGGGACTGATGGCTTTTAGGTTCTTGAATCTAAAACAAAGTATACAATTTTACTATATAGCATCTTGAACAGGGTTTCGTTCTTGACCAAAGCCTTTAAAAGAATGTAAAGGTTGGCGGTGAGTGGTCTACATTTAGTGTACATTTATTTTGTGGTACCAATACTATTTTTTACAAACTATCTAAATCTAATATGAAGCTTTTTTAAGTCCTTAATTCTGTTTGCCAGACGAGTTGTATCAAGGTCATAATATAAGGTTTGTTGTGTTAAATAGGTTCAGGCCTTGGAGGTTTCAACTTCACTCGAGAACCCCCTCAAGTGGGTCAGAGGGTTGCAGGAAATGTTTCTTTATCCATAGCAAAACCCTAGAAATAATAATTAAAATAATAATTTTAAAACAGCAATGTAACAAAGTGTTAAAATCAATTGATTTTAATGAATCAATAAATCTCCTGTCCCAGTAAAGCGAGGTTCAAAATTTAAGGGGAACTACCAGTCAGGTACCGCGTCGGTTCTTAATATTATTATAAAAGAGGGTGCCAATGGGGGTACCCAGTTCTCAGTTAACTACTAATTTTTTGGTCAAATATCAGTTAACTACTATTTTTTGGCCAATTCTCAGTTAACTACTAATTTGGGTTAGCCATTAACTTTTACTTTCTGACAGCGAATATAGACAGGGTCATCAGCAGGACAGAAAAAAGACAGAAAACTGCATTTCTCTTAGTTTGCAAAACTTTGTTGCTTTGTCCATTAAAATCAACAATCGTATTCAGTACAATTAATAGAACGTCACTTAACTGTTAACTTTTCATTTCTCAGTTAACTACTAATTTTTTGGCCAATTGTCAGCTAAACACTGTTTTTTTTGGCCAAATATCAGTTAACGTTTACTAAACCCCATTGCTTGAAAGAGTGAAAGTGATTCGAAATAGACAACACAGTTAATGTGGAATATCATCGCTGAAGAACAGGAGAAGCTAGGAGAAATCGTTCTGGGGCAGGATCTTGTTGAAAGTAGGGCTTCCGAATTTTACCATTAATTGGCTTTTAAACGAGCCCTTTCCTTTCAGATCTCATCAGGAATATTGAATAAGCGCATGAACCATCTTTTAATATGAGTCTTTGTTCAGCCTGCGAATACAGCAGTTTCACTTTGGCCTCATTCCTCGCCGCTCAAGGGACGTTTCGCCTTAGCAGCTACTCAAGTACGACAGTTTAACAGAGTCGGAGTCGCTAAAGCCTGTACACAGACGTTGTTTTATTGTTCTTCTCGTTCTTTTCGAAAACATCGGCGAGTTCGCGAGCGTGTGAGAACGAACGTGGATATTTTCTTCTTCCCCCACCCGTATATTTTATCACGAGCGCTCGACGGACTTTGAAGAGAAAATAGAGGGTCTGTCAACAGGCGAGAGTCACTAGAACAGTAGGGAAGCGGCTGAATGTATATAGAAAAGAAGAAAATGCAGCTTCTTTAGCCCTGAAATTCCTGAAAGCTGGCTGTCAAAACATTCACCTGGATATTTTGAAAGCCGATTTTGTGCAATGAACATTTTTTGTCCCATATCGTCTTGTTCTCTATTCGCTTAACACGTCTTCCAAAGCTACCCGTTAAGCTTTTACTGACAAACAAATTCAAACAGCATTTCAGTAATAACAACAAAAACCGACAGCAGCTAGTATATGACCTGTTGAGTGAAAATCAACGGCAGAGAAAGTGGAACGAGTATTGCTTGCCAGTTCTTTCACTTTTCGAGGTAAGGGATATATTCATTTGCAGGAAACAAACTGAAAAAAGATTAATACAGACATTCTTTTCTGTTAAAATTCAGTTAACAGTGCGCTTTGTCGCCCGTTGCTTGATTGACAACTTTTAACACTGGAAACTACGTTCGGATTACTAGCCGACAAAGTGGGCGGAATGACCTTTTGAAAACAAATCTCACAGTAATCTTGAACCCAGATCTCACTCTGTTTTACACTTGGCCGTGGGAGATCTGGGTACGAGATTAATCTCACAGTCGTTCCCTCCTCTCTCCCTCTCCCTCTTTTCCTCCTTATCTTTTTCTCGCTTTCTTCTTTCGCGCCGCACTCCACTATCCGAACGCCTGGAACAGGCTATACTATCGGCTTCTCTGCTCGTTGCTATTCCTTGAGCATTCTTTAAATGAGCCAGATAGTGAGGTAGAAGGAAATAATGCCACCAAGAGAAGAGACCTAACTTTAACAGAACGAAAATTTCGAAGCATGGGATTCGTGGTTGGGTTCACCAGCTTGTCTGCACCGATTTGCTGCGCCCTCGATTATGTACCCAGGCTTGAAGTCCTCCCATGGGTCCACGCTCTTCCAATTGTTGTGAACTTGGCGATCATTGTTTTGGATCGCTTTCTCTTAGGAACAATAACAAGAACAATATTTCATCATCGGAGGGACGGAACAAAGGGCCATTTGGAGTCAAAATACAAATGTGCTGCACTATTATAAAATAAAGAAAACCAGTGTATTGTTTCATCTAAAAATTTCAACTGAAAGGGAAATTATTCACAATTTCGACCAAAAGAAAAAAAGGTAAGGGGAGGGGTGAAAAGGAAAGGTGCCCTTTCACAAGATGGGGAGGTGGAGGGGGAAGGTTGAAGGTGGTATGAGACAATAAACGTTCTTTGTCCATAGCAACCATGCAACCATATTTTTACGTCGATAACTCTGACAGCCTGAGGTCGACGGCCGTTTTAAGGGTGTTTAAAGCTATTCAAAGCTACACAGAAAGGAAAAAGGATATGATGTCACCAGAAATCGAACTCAGGATCTCGCGCACCGAAGGCCGCGCATTTTACCAACTATTGATTACTGCAACTTACCTATTTTTTTTATATAGCGGTGCCAAGATGTGGAACGCTTTACGGCAAAATTTTATTTATTTTACCTCAGTGTACCTTTTTAAATTGATGGTTGAACATGTCTAAACGTACCATTTAAATGTTCTCCTATTAATCCCTAACATTATTTCTGGCCAGGTTTCTTGCCTGGGTGCTGTTGGATTCGCTTATTGAATGATAAGGGCACTTATCGCTGCTTACTGGACATGCGCCAGACACTGGCAGCCTGGTTCTTCAGCGTATCTACATCAGAGTTATACACAGCTAACGGAGGTGTGGACATTGCAACAGAAATGAAACCTCCAAGAAGAAAACAGCCGACATTTAACCACGTTACCACTGGTTTCCACGCAAAAATGACGTCTGAGGAACGAGGGCAGAAATTCGATCGTCGACATGTCATTACCCAGGTTTTGGAGGTACTTCTGATTGGCTGAATCAAATTTAACACGAGGCAAGACCAATCAAAGACACTTAACACAGATTTTGGTAGTGATGCGTCAGAAATAGACCTTCTCTTTAATACTATAGTTCTACCTAATATTAATTACGCATTATCTGTCTACGCCGCGTCCGAGTCCGATCTTACACCCGTACAATGTTTCTTAGACCGCTGTTTTAAAAGGAAATATACGTCTAAGCCTGTAAGTGTTTATGATTTCTTAGAGAGGCAAGACCGTAAATTTTTCAGAAAAGTTTCCAATGCCAAAGGACATCCACTTTTATCTATCATGCCTCGTGTTAAACCCTCCAGCTACAATCTTAGGAAAGAAACTTGTTTTAAACCTAAGATTAACACTATGCGCTTTAAAAACTCTTTTATTAATCGCTTAGTTTTTAAATATGAATTAGCTATGTAATATACTAGATATATACACCGGTATATATATTTTTTAATTCTTACTTTTTAACTTTTTAAAATTTCTTACACTTACTTGTAACAAAAGGTATGTATTTTTATCCCTTGATGAATAAAGACTTTATTATTATTACTTTATTATCCGATGGAATTTCTGTGCTCGTTCCTTTACGACGCCATTTCGCTGGGAAACCAGTAGTTTGATCAAAAAGATTTTTAAAGTACATTTAAAAAAGTGAACGACGTTTCGGCGCTACGTTACGCCATTATCAAGTTGAAAAGTGAAAAAGTATAAGGTGTAAAACGAATATATAAAATTTGAAGCAATACATAAAATATTTGCGGGTCCAATGGGTATAATTCCCAAGGTAAGAAACACATTAAGAGAAAGAAAATGTACGAAAGTGTAGCGTAAATAGTTTGGCGCGAATGGAAGCGATCAAATCATTTTCGATCGTGTGTTTGCTTGCCACTTGAAATGGAGATGTTACTCCCAGTCAATAAGTAAACATTTCTTTGTAGTCGTGCTCGTTCGCTATTCGATGAGCTAGTTTATGTTAGGAATTCCCGAGGAAAAACTCGAGATGTTTACATACCAAGCAAAGTCCACTCTACAACTCCTTTTCCACCAATCTAAACCAACTCTTAACAAATAACAACAGTACTACGGCACTCACACGTGCCTGACACACCAAAAAATCATCACATACGCGTGACACAACGACGCCCAAGTGTACACACCGATAGCGTCTTGTTCCCAAAAAGTATTGGTACATCCCTCTACACCCACCGTGCAGTAAAGGAACTAGAATTAACGGCGAGCAACTTGAACCCTTGGTTCGTCAAGCTTGGATCTAGTAGTTTTGTGCTATCCGTCCACTTACTGAAAATAATATCCTGCTCAAAACGAGGGTAAAGTTGCTGTAATGCTAGATACTGTTTCACCTTTTTGTAAAAGCACTCTTACTAAAATGATAATCAAGTCCTAATCTCAGCTTCCATTATTGGAATTTATTACATAAACACCAGTGAAATAACAGAGGAGCTTTCTCTCGAAAAACCTGATATCAGAGCATGTTATCTTCACCTGTGAAAAGATCACCGTTGCTATGGTTAAATGATAAATCGATCGGGCCTTTCGCAGCAAAAAAGGTATTAAAGTGAGATGGTTTGGTTTATCATTGGTATTGAGAAATATTTCACTCAAAGATAAATTTCGTATCTCCACCCGGCCATGAAATATCCTCTATTTCTGTGATGTCTAAACCGTCCGTTGTCGGCTTCACACTGCGTTTCATATGATTCAGATCGAGTTTGGTGCGCACCTCTCATTCATAAAACACTGACCATTTGGTGTTTCTAACAAACCAGTTCAAATGCAAAAAGGCTAGGAGACCATAAAGTGGGTATCTCTAGGATATAGTTAAGTAAGATTGTTAATGAAGATACGTAGATTCTACTAAATTTTTTATTATATAATATAATAGTTATTATTATTGTTATCATTATTATTATTGTTATTATTATTATTATTATTGTTATTATTACACATAACTTATTGTCATTATTGTCATAAGAAACACAGAGCTATTAAAGACTCGTTGTGTTATAAGCCTAGTAAATGCATGGGTTATGGCGAAATTAAAGAGGAGTGCTTTATTAGCTCTGCAAAGATTGAGAAGGGGTAAAAGTCCAATGAAGAAGCAGCCGATTTTTTTTCCACAAAATAATAAATTCATTGCTTTCAGAACTAAGAGTTGGCTATACAGTTGAACTTCTCCACAGCGGTCAGCTTGGGACAGATATGAGTGGCCGTTGTAGAGAGGTGGTGGCTGTTAGTGGAGGTTGGCTGGATGTATACTAAACGCTCCTCAGATCATAAACAGAATAGCCTACTACAAGCCCCCACCCCACCCCATAACTAAAATGGATAGGGCTTGTATGACGAACCTCTCGAACAACTGCAACGCTCTTGGACGAGTTTTACTTTAATGGATTTTGTGCTTCATTTCTTCCTTTTTTGCCACTTTGTGCTTATAAAAAAAATAATTATTTTACCAGTCAATTTATCCTTAGGACTGAAAACAACGATGCCCAGCACTTGTTAAACGTTTCACTAGAAGACTGTTAGTAGGCAATTTTTGGACATACAAAAGGAAAACGTTTTGCTTTCTAATAGAAGGCATCTCAACCTAAAGCGTTTCGCCATTAAACAGGGCGTGACTGGTGACGTGATGAAGTGACGAGATTTTGTTGGTGTTAAAGAACATGTATTTGCAATATAATGTCCCAACAGCCGAATCTTGATTCTGTCAAGCCTAAAGAGGTTTGAACCCTGCACGATATACCATTGGAAATGACTTACATTAAATGTTCTTCCACAGCCATTTTTAACTGAAAAGAGGTGTTAGCTGTTAAATGTAAAGCCTTGCTAAAGAAATCTATCTTGCATTAAAGTATTTCTTGGCCTCTAACCTCGTGTTTGCTCTCACACTTGGTTTTGTTTTCACGTTATTTGACATTTTGTAAGCCCAAATGAACGCTGTTTTTCTCTCACTGGTTTTCTGTGATTTTTTTCCAGGCATCTTAACCTGTATGAAATTTATTTTTTGTTTTCCTCCATAAACTCGCTCACTATTCCACGTGTTTTGATGTAGGAGACGTTGGTACAAATGATGAGTGAATAACACTAATACCGAAGAACGCAACTGGTAATTTACCGGCGTGACAGCTATAACAAGTGAAACTTGATTACATCAAATGTTCTTCCACAGGCACTTTTAAATGAAAACATTATTGTTACCTGTTAAATGTAAAGCCTTGCTAAATATATATCTTGTATTAAGCATCACCACTTGCCCAACAGAATCGGAACTGAAATCTCTAAATAACTATATAAATAAGTAACAGGATTTTACTAATTCTTAGGTTCACACATCGCAGACCCTGAAAAAGACTTCAAAATAAGATTAGGAACTAGCGCAGAACGTATGCAATAAACTTCAGAAGATGTGGCATTCTAATCTAGCAAATTCATTGTTGAGAGTCGAGACACTGAGAACGCTTGTAGAGCCTGTCCTCCTGTATGGCTCAGAAACTTGGTGACTCTCAACAAGACTGGAAAAGCTGCTCTACGGTTGCTATACAAACCTTCTGATAAGAGAACAAAACATCAACTGAAGGACCACGCCACGCTTGAGAGGATCTATGGGAGACTTGGTAACACCTCTATCTTTAAGACTCAGGAAAAAGCGTCTCCAGTTGGAGTGGTGATTACTATAGGACAGATAAAGAAATAATCTCGTCCCTCATCCTCTTACGCTCAGTGGGCAGAGTGCATTCACGTCAACTAACATACCCCGAAGTGATTGCGAGGGATTCAGGAATTAACTAAGTTAAGACTGAGTACAGCGATGGCGAGTCGTTGTGTGAATGACCCGTCCACTCTGGAGATCGAAAGATGAAAATCAAACTCTAATTTCCAATAAGAAAATACTATCATATCTGAATGAGACGAACTAGAAATTTTTCGCTGGGCTTCTTCCTGTCGAAGGTAGGACTGCACGGATCATTAGTCTTTTGCTCGTCCTCCAGCTAAACTCCAGGTGCCCTGGAGTGATCAAAAGAGGTGTCTAGTTTCAAAAGAGCCACAAATCACGAGACGCCTACAGAAATGCGGTTTGTTGAATAGATATCCCAAATTATTAATTTCCCACACCATAACAAGTAGGCGTATTACTGCTGAGCGAAGCTACAATATAGGATCTTGGAGATTCATCTGTAAAACATCAGGGGCACCCAACGAGAATATAGTTCAAAACCACTTAAACATAGCATTGTTAACCGTATATTAGTATTTAAACGGTAGATATAGGTATATTTTTATCCCCTAAAAATTTTTCATCTGTTCTGATTTGCTTGCTGAAAGTCTAGTGATCCAAAAATTATAGGGATCAAAACTTACCTTTTCGAAAATTCCAGTCAGAAAAAAGGCTCCCGAAAAATCTAGGTGACCTTTTTAGGGTAAAAGTAGGTTAAAAATAGGCAGATATACCATTTCTTAGATGTTCGAAAATCCTAGGAGAGGCAGGCAAGCAAGAAATTTTACAACAAATGTTCCGAAAATTCTAGATGTCATATCGTCTTCCGCGCAGATATTTTCAGCGAAAATTGTCCTTGGGTGCCCCTGAAACATGCGCACTGCTGTGGTTGACTTTCCAAGAAAGCAATAGTACCAGCATGTCATTTTTTAAGGGTCACTGACAAGACAGTTTTAATCTAGGTTTCACGCCAATGCCGGCATAAATTATAGAAGCTTGAAATGAGTCAGACGAAGCTTTTGAGCAGCGGAAACTTAGACTGGAGTGAGATCATTCCTTATGAATTAACAGTCTCTCCCCACGATCGAAACTCAACAATCACCGCCTCTGAAGTGATCATCGCGTCTGCTTCTGGACTGTTTTACTTCATCTTATTCATGGTCGGCGTCCTTGGCGTTTGCATCAAGTCCTGCGCCAGGTTATGCTCCTCTCAAGGAACTTTCTTCGTTTTCTTTATTGGCGTGTTGATCGCTTCCGTAAATGTCTTCACCAATTCAGACAACCTAGAGGTCAGACTCTACTTCCGTTCATCTTCAGCCATTGTTATTGGCATAGCTTACTTTCTGTTTGGAGCTTTTCTTTTCTTTTCACTGCCAAGGGAAGGAGAACACCCACGGACGATGGGCCACCAACAGCCTTCGATGGGGTGTGTTATCGGAATGATAACATTGCCCCTGTTTTTAATCGAAGCCTTGCTTTTAACTTTTACCTGTACAAAGGAAACTAAGAAGTCGTTCGAGGCCCACGATCCTTCTGGGGAATTATGGATTTTAGTTATAACAGACAAGTCAGTATTTCTCCTTCAAAAGTCTATTCAGATGGGCATGTATTTTTATCTGCGTGCCACGACTCTTGTAAACGACGAATACAAGGACAACGCCGAGTTTTATTTTAGACTACTGTCTTTCTTCAATTTGATCGAGTGGATTGACGCTCAGGTGAATGGGGATAATGATGTTTTATTAAGCGGACCCATTATTGCAAAACTAGATGGCTGGTTGGATGTATTCATAGTACTTTATAAAGCTTTCATTATTGATTACCGTTTACTATGTAGCTTGCTCTTCCTGGAACACTCCATAGAGATTGCAACTGAAGCCGCCGATGAGAACCAACAAAATAATGCTCCGACAATTAGTAACATGACACCAAGGAATCAACTGAGAATGTGTGGTGGATATATGATGGGTGGTTTGTTCCTTACTGCCCCTCTGTTCTGTGCCCTTCAATATCTGGACATCCTTAATATAAAAGGATGGGTGGAGATATTCGCCATTTTTGTCAACGTGGCAATCTTAATTTTTGGAACATGCTTTCTTCTTAGCAATAACTTAGAGGATGGTGGAAATAAAGAAGCACCTGGCGTGAAGACCATGGTAAGTTGATTTGCTGATTTTACTAAACCTAGGCCTAGTGCCTAAATCCTCTAGCTTGACTTATAGTTGTTGCTAATGAAAACGGTTAATATAATCTGATTTGAGAATGCCCCTTCGGAAATACGAACTTTTCAATTTAATATTGACAACATTTATCTTTTACTTCGTTTATTTACAATAAGAGGCTTGTTTATCTACGATTATTCAATACTATTACGAGATATGACTTTATAGGAGACCAAGACTTTAGGAAATTTAAATGAAATGTTACGCCGTTTATTAGAACAAATTGCTAAACAAATGTCATTGCGCAAAATTTTATAAACAGTAAAAGGTTGACTTTTTATTAGCAGGTTGCAATCATTACCCTTTATGTCAACTTGGATCAAAGAATTACAGTAAAACCTCCATCTGCGATCAGCAGTTTGTAAGCGACCACCATCATATATCACAAAAAGTTTTTCCTGTAATATAGTCCTATGTTTAAAACTTCTCGAAAGTTACCACCTCTTCTGCGCGACCAGTTTCTGGGCTGACCATTTTATAGATTTGCATAGCCTGTGTAGCATGGCGGTTTTCGTTGGGCGCCCTAAGTAACATAGGCGGGCGAGGGCAGAGAAATCGCGAGGAAATTGGGGCGGGAGTTATTTTTCTCGTGGCGTCGCCGTTTGTTCGCGCGTCCTTTCGCGCGCGTTTTGCGGCTTCGCCGCTCATTAGTGCTCGCGACAAAACCGGGCTAAGATTTTCATTGCTTTGGATCTCTTAGATGGGATCACGTGATGCAATTACTAGTCTGTTCTCTTCGTTTATGTATGTCACTACGCCACGCTCAAGTATACGAAAAACTTTACGTGACAAAGTGGAACTAGACGTATGGTAGCTTAAAAATAGCACGCAATAAATTCTCCTCTAAAACGTAGATGTGTCTGAAGATCTTCTTGAAAGAGGCCCCCTATTGTTCGATTCTCGTAAGCGTTTTTGGATAGTCTCTTACTGGAGGTTCGACTGCACTTGCATATTCTAAAAAACTATGGTCATAGATTGTTAACCGTGCAAGATTCCAAGGTTTAAAATACATATATTTTAACACAAGAGAAAGATTTCCGACATCGGTGCCCAAAGACCTTGAGCTCGATTGCCCCTCCATTTCTTCAATACAGAAGCCGATTCGGCTCCTGCTGAAGAGGATTATCTTCAACTATTTGTTCTTCGAGGAGGATCAAATTCTTATTGAATTATCTTAAGACGTTTTTTCTAACATTTTCTAATCTTTTTTTAGGTTTGTTGCTTAGGTGCAGTTGGATTTATTTGTTGGTTGATAAAAGGAGCCATTGCCGCTTACTGGGGAGCTACTGCGCATGACCGAACTGAATGGGATGCTGCAAAGTTTTGTTTTCGTGGATGCACAGCAGCATTCCTTATGTATTTACTCATGAAAGTCAACGCAAAGGCCCTGCCGTTAAAAAATCCAACCTCGACAAAAAATCACTTTTTGGTTCCCATTCTTCTGTTAGGCATAATTTCCATGTTCTTGGAAACGTTGATTGATCAGTACCTTGGACCGTTCGAGAAAAAACTCAGGTTATACAATATTTATTCAGTTTATCATTCTGACACGCACTTAATTATATCTGGAGTATAGAATCCAATTTTAATTGTCAAAAGGCAAACACCAGGTTTAGAAAATGAGCAGATAAATAGATCAGTTTGGGGTGAAACTATTATTTTTTGACGAGGTATAACGAACTGTTAACCAGTAAAGGGAAAACGTGGTCACGTGATGTTATCGTCTGCCTAAAACTATTTGAGAAGTTGTATCAGACACCCAAAGTATTTCACACGTTAAATATGTCAAACATAAAAGAAAATGGCAAAAATATCCCCTCTCCATCTCGCGTCTGTTTGTCTAAATACTTGTTGAAGTGTCCTCCTAAATTATTTGAGACTATTCTGGCAAAGTAAGCTTGAAATCATACCGTTTTGCAAGCCTAAAATCAGAGAGATACTCTTCTCCGCAGGCTTCCCTGTGTTTTCGATTTTGGATCAAAAATAACAAAGCGTTTCAGTTTCATCATTACTTCAAACGCGATGAAGACAGCGGTATGACTAACTTCGAAATCTTGAAAATGAGAAGTACTCAGAGGGAGCTGAGTTACGTGCTTTTCTGTTTGTCGTGATCCAATGAAACTACACTGTTTTACAGTTTTTGAAATCTGTTAATACCCAAACCATCAGTACAGGGAGTGATTCTCTCTAAGATAGCATACGACATTCTTTGGTCCTCCAAATTAATTGCTTTCCCGAATTAAGAGCGGTAGGGACCTGAGCTCATGCTGAACTCTTGAAGTGCGGTTCTTGGGTGTCCTTTAAAAGAAAGTTGACTGAAACGTCAAACCACAAGTTTGTCAAATTTGCATAGCTAAGATATATCTGAGTTATACTGTAGTAGGCTTTTTCAGGCTATTTCGCACCCATTTTTTTATTTAGAAAACGGAAATACGAAAGTGAAAATGATCGTCGCAGTTGAGTAAAAAACCTAATCGGTTGAAAAATAACCTGAAAAAAAATTCCAGTGGTCTGCTGTTCAGTTGGTTTGATTAGCTTAATGGATAGAGCGTTGCGCTCGGTCATCGCAAAGGTAGTGGTTCGATTCCTGGTCAAGCCTTAATTTTTTCAGGTTCTCTCATATCTTTATCCGGAGATCACAATATGAGTCACTTTATATATTTCCAAAACTGAAACACGTTGATAAGAAAGGAATATCTATAGTTACATGCGCCTTGCGATTATCAGGTTGAGACCTCGAGATGTTTGAAAAGCACGATTTGAATAACGATTTCCAAATTCCCCCCTAGGCGACTTTATATCATTGTCTCATCTTAAGGTTTTTCTCTTATTGGTAGAAGTGAAATCGATGAACAGAGCTTGGAGATTCTGTTAGAGGCTGGTCCACCCATGTATCTTGGATTCTTGATTCATTTGGTTTTGCACTTTATAGTAATCCAATCAAGAATTCGCAGACGACGACAAGCTAACGAAGGGGGTGGCGGAGGAGGTGATGGTGGTGATGCCGTGGATGACCACTTATTATCTATTCCTTTGGATTGAGCTGTAATCGCGGCGAACATTCCAATTTAAGTCAACTTTAGTCAATATATGTATAAAAGTGTTCATGATTATATCACGTTTAACCCACTACTAAACACGAGTAACTATGTCTATCAAAAATTCCAGGAATTTCCAAAGGAAGCCTTTCGTCCTGATGAAATCCCCAGCAACTCGCACTGCTGTTTAGAAGGCCACTATATAGCCATAAAGTAACAAGAATTGTCCCTGATGTACAAAGTACCGTTGATACCACCCATTTTATTATCAGCCATGGACAGGATCCTGATTGTCGGTCTTATTTGGCCCCATCAAAAATCCTTGTTTAATACGTGAGGCTCAGGCCCCCTGTCTCCCAATTGTAAAACTTCTAGGTCAACTGAAATAGATGATATGAAAGTGAACATGATCCTTGCAGTTCAAATGAGTTAACCGTAATGTTCCGAAAATAACGACCCTCTTTACTTTAAGATTTAGCAGCCTTTTTCTATCGCTACTTTCACGAGGTCGCTACTTTCGGGTAGCTAATTTGTGTACGGTACATGGGCGGTGGGAAGCTAAGATAATAATATCGTGACAATTGTGAAGAGATCCACACTTTTTATTTGGAGAAACTTCTTTCATGTTATATTGCTTTGTAAATGAATATTCAAAAGAATTGTCTGATTACGGTGTGGGTATTCACAGACGAAAGGAAGACCTTTAATGTACCTTGTGAGTTACATAGGGATACATAAAGGAATGTCAAAGATCATTATAACCTTTAAAAAATAAATCTCGGATCGTTTTGATAAAGCTTGTTGTAACTATAATTTCCTTTATTTCTCTCACTACTCTCGAAGGGTCGCTACTTTCGGGGGGTCGTTACTTTGGGAACTTTACGGTATGTTGATATCGAGGCTCCTTATGGGGGGGGCTAATAAATGGGTCAGCGCGAAGAAAGAGGCAAATCGAGCGGTAGCCTGCGTAGCATGGCGGTTTTGGTTGGGCGCGCTAAGTAATAAAGGCGGGCCAGGGCAGAGAAACCGCGAGGAGATTGGGGCGGAAGCAATTTGAAAAACCGCCTGCACGGACGGGGGGCTTTTTTGAGTCGGTCCGCACGCCAGCGTACGGATCGTTCCGATTGGTTCGGAATGTTCGCCTGTCAATCAAATATTTTGGTAATCTCCCATGGGAGAGTTTCGAGGGACTGAACAAATCATCTCTGCAAAACAAAATCAAAATGTCAAAAAAGCGTTGACCGGAGCGTCGTCGATCTTGAATATTTGACGGGAAAACAGGGCAATTGTATTGAAGCCTAAACAGGAAATGGCCATTTACAGTCTTCCTCAAAGGAGAGATGTCATGGAAATTTTGTCAACAAGATTTGGCAAGAGCATGATCTTTACTGTCTTTGCTATGACCAAAGAAGAAATATCCTCATCGAAAACCTGTATGATCACAATTTCCCCTCTAAAAAGTACTATCGACGACCAGATATCTGAAATGTTGTCGCTGAGCTGTAAAGCAATGGACCTTATGACAGAAACAGTAAATTTCAGTACTTCGAGAAAGTTCACCTCAATTTTCTCTATTACTCGGTGTTAGAGAATAACGCACTCCAGCGCAATACATCGTTTTTATTTTTCTCGCTGCTTCCCCGCTCGTTCTCGCGCGCTTAGCGCGCGAATTTCGCGGCTACGCCGCTCCTGCGCCCGGCTCGACAAAACCGCCATGCTACGCAGGCTAATCGAGCGGTGACTGAGAAGAGGATTGGGAAGGCGGAAACTCTGCCGCTCTCCAGTATCTGGCACGCTTTTATTGAACGTTCTATCACAGAATATTGGAGGTTTCTTCATTTTCTTTCACTTAATAAAGGTACTCACTCAACTTACTCCGTGTACAGAGCGTAATTAGCCCATGAAGCGACTGATAAAAAAATGTAAATCGCTTTGATGCAAGTCAACAGCTGTGATCCTATATGTAAAGTGAACTTCCGTTTCAAAGAAGGCGCCAGTGATACTTACCACACTAACACTGATTATTTGGAACATCATTGAGGGGAACCACTTTACACATCATAAATTCTAAGCGATGATGTACAAGTGAGTTAGGCTAATTTTGTTGTTTTCCTAATAAATTCAGTTGGCTTTATTTTGGGAGTGAGAACTGCACAGGAAATTGGAACCTTGGCAATTAATAAACTAGACAAGATTATGGTAATTGTTTTTACACAGCTTATCAAAATGACGCAAAGCAAACAGAACATTTGAAGTGATCGAAGATGTATGTAAGCCTTGCAGAGGTTCCGCCAGGAGCATTAGATACCTCGATGGAAGTTGCCAATGGGCCATTTGCACGATGACGTCTTTTTACTATTGAGACCAGAACTGATTTCGTTTTTATTTTCATATTTAAATTTGGTAATCCCAGTGAGGTTTAAATAAGAAAAGCCCCAATTTACACAAGAAAGCAATACCCTGAAGGATTCTTGTAGTCGTGGTAAAGTGACGCCATCGTGCAAATGGCCTGTTGCATAGAAAGATGTTAAAAAGGAACTAGGCTAATTAGTCGAAACTGACTCCTGTGAAGGAGCTCGCCATTTGGAAAGTCAAATTGCTGTCGTTAAGAAACCAGCTAAGTATCTGTACTCAACTATTGAACAAAAGTCTTCAGTAGAAGCACTATAGACTGACAATTTATAACGAAAGCAAAAGTGTTTATATAATTAGTGTCGCGTTCCCAGTGTCGTAGACGCGTGGCGTTGGGCACTGGAGTTCGCCAGGTCAACCACAGTGAAGCACTAGGCGGTCAGCAAGATTCAATGGCGTTTATTAAAATCAGGCTAGTCCGACTATTTACAGCACTTGCGGTGAAAACTAGAAAGAAACGTGCGATTTTTACGTCAGAAGAAACCAAAACTACGATAATGCTCCGTGCACGAAAAAAGAAGGAAAAACAAACTACTTAATTTATAAGCGTGACTTACGTCTGATCTTGACTCCGGGGGTTAAAAGAAACTCAAAATCTCCTACAGTTGTAATAACTCCGAAAGTTCTCCAAAAGCTCCTTACACTGTGATGGACTTCTTACAACTGAATAAACGTGCTTAGGAAAAGAATAATCAAACGCATGCCTTCTGGCGTAAAGGAAATAAAACTGAGTAAAGCTTTGTACGCCTAGCCAAAAAACGGATATACGATGATCATGCAATAAAATAAACAATGCTACAATCACGAAAGAAAAAACAGTCCTTGAATGTAACTAATTGAAATGTCATATCTCACGGATAACGTGACAATTAGCAAACTTGATGCGAGGAATAGAAAATGAATATAGAAAAATATTTAAAAAGGCTGGAAGATGTGGTGTCTGTGTACAACAAACAAAGAATATTTTTATGGATCATTTTATGACCACTGAAGGATTACAGACAGTCAAGTTTCTCAATGATGTATATGGATCGAAAAGCGTCCGTGAAATGTTTGGTCATGATGGAATACTTAATATATATCTCCCAAATTTAGCCGTTGATGCACAACCCATATGAGAGCTAACTACAAAAGAGTGGAGATTTAAAGAACATAATCCAGTTTCGGATCCAGTCCTTGAGATAAGTGGGGAGCGTCTCCAAATTTTTCGGCTCTTCGGGCCTCAGAATGTTCTAAAAATAAGTGGAGGGGAGGGGGCACCCCCCAACCCCTCCCCTGGATTCGCCACTGTAATCTGTTATATGTAATGTTATGGCCATGTCTCAAAAGGACTGGAAACAAACAAATTCAAGAAATTGATTGGCTGAAATCGATCTTGAGCGCGGTCTAGATTTTCCCATCGAGACCGGCATCTAGACCGATGTTGTTGTAACAGTTGTCCTCAAAAAGTTACAAAAAAAGAATATGAAAAAATTGGCTTGTTCCTCTTAATACTAAATGGAAGAATCAGTGGACCATCACGAGGAGGCAGGTAAAGAAAACGAGCAAACGTTGGCAAATTTCTTGTCCTGTCGAGGAAGCTATGAGCAAAGATGATGTCGAAATTGAGGACTTTTGCAGGAGACTTTGAATCTACTTATCACATTTTATTGGATGAAGTCAACTGTGTTTCTCTATACAACAGACGTATACACAATATGCTAATCTTTACTCTACAACAGTTTGTTTCTGACTAAGTATCCTATCTTCATGAATAATATGTTTCGTCTTATAATTTACGTGGCGACTATACTTTGACACTGCCTGTACCTAAAACTGCTACTTTTGGCCTTCGCATTCATTTTCAGTATCATGCCGCTAAACAACGGGAACAGTTACTACCAGACTCGACGCATACCAGTGATTTTAATATATAGATATAGCCAAGGCTAAAAGCAAAGCTCCTAATAATAAATTTTATAATTTAAATCAAGCAATAAACTTGTAATCCACATATCAGTTAACGTAAGAGCACATTTTGAGGGAAAGGCTAAGTGATTTTAAAGTGAAACGTCTTACATCGAGTTGATAGCCTTATATGTACACCCTCAAAAATAGCAATCATCTTCGATCACAATCAAGAACCATAATGGCTGTTGATCACAGTAGATTAGGCCTGGAAAACAACAACCTATTAGCTTGTTTTTTTTTCCTTAAGTGAAAAATGGGAAACGATGTATAAAACGATTCTTCAACGTAACTATCTTTTCATTTTTCTCCAACTATTGGTGAGCGCCCTGGTGTAATTAATATGCTGTCAAATGTCGCCGACGAACAACACCAGTTTCACTTCTCAAACACTTGGACGCTTTCAGTAAGTTTTCCAAACGTTAAGTGCATTTACAGCCTATTGGTAAAATATGTCCTGAACAAACTTCGACAGTGAAAGCAACAACCCTAGTTTTTTTTCTTCGTAGTATTCTTGCATTGATATTCCCCCTGAGGGGTCTTCATTTTGTGAACGTCGATTTTACGAGTGATTCAAGTTATTACCGTCCTCTATTTTATTGCGCGTTATCTGTTTGTGCTGTCCAATTGTCAAATCGATCGTTCAGAGAGAACTATTGACAGTTTCATGCCTTGTGTAAAGTCTCTCTTTTAATTTTATCTTTCATTCTTAAACTCCGCATCAATAATTCATAAAGAAAATACAAAGGAAATCAATGTTTAATGAGTGTTTGGAAATCAGATGAAAAACTGCTCATTTTTGCATTTTTAATTTCTCTTAAAATCATTTTGACACATTCGACACAGTGTTTCATCACCAGATGAAACACCTCGAGGTTCGTCAAAAATACTCCGCGGAGTGTCTCATGCTTGATCTATTACTTGAAAGTCTCTCTTTTCCTGTAGGTACATGAATATTTCATTCCAAAAATGAAAGGCTTTCATCTGAAAGGAAAACCGTTCAGTTGTAGCACAGTTTAGGAACCTTGTAGAGAACGGACTTAATGAAATTAAGTAAACAGTTTGTGGCCTTCGTTTTTGCGCATTAGCTCGATCTCTGCCTTTTTTTTTATTTTATGGCGCGTTTTGTACTCGTGCTCGTGCAGGCCAATGAAAAACTAGTTTCAAGTTCTAGAAAACTTCTAACTCCTGTTCTTCTCTTTCTGCAGTACGAGCTAAATTAATATTTTTCGTGGAGGGTATTTCCATTTGGAGGATCTGTCTATTCTGGATTGTTTATTACGCACTGATCTATATTTCAGTGTTCTTTCATAAAGCTAGAATTATAACATTTTTAAAATCATTTTACTCCCCGGCCTTCCATTCCTTAGACTAACCAGTGGTTTGAGCTTTTTGTCTTCTTAGTCATCTTTACAACAGATTTGTCGAATTTACCAGATTTGCTTGTATTAGGCGCAGGTTCGATTCTCTTCCTGACCAACACTGAACCTGAGTCTTTCAAAATAACTAAGTACTGCTGCCCTTGTTTTATATCTTCTCGTTCTTCACTTAAGGTAATTAAGCAAAGAATAGCATTCCGTTCCGTTCGTGTACGTCAGTTATATTACACATACATACATGCTTTGTTGTTTTTTATGTTTATTATAATGCATCAGTGCGCCCAACCCGGGTCATTTGCCTGCCTCGTCATTCCCGGGGTGGGGCATTTGCAAATTTCGCACTGCCCCGGGGACCGGGCATTTGCCAACCCCGGGGCCATTAGAGAGCTTTTGACACGCACGCAGTTTCCTATCAGAATATAACTAGACAGAAGGTTTTACTGGAAAAAAAGCAGATTGGCTCACCTGTCAAGGACAGGAATAAATTGAAGAGAGTTGTAAAGGCATGTTCTCGATTATATGCATACCTTCCTTCATTGCTTTTTAAGCCAGAATTACATAGCGGAAACCGGGGCTATCGATGTGAATCAACGTGTTTTGGTTATTGAATCAAATTTCTGTTGATATTATTTCAAGAACATCCTTTCATATTTATACAACTATTCATAACATATAACGTTACAGCGCTCTATTAATTTTAATGTCAATAATTTTATATCAATACTAATGAGCATTAGAATCCTAGCGCTATTACAAGGGAAGACGTTAACTGAAACGAAAAATCGCACATTGAAATGCTTAAAACGACATTATTCGACTGTTCGATCAATGAAAAATGTTGCAGTGTTGACGGAGGACGGGGCATTTGCCCTCCTTTTTCGTCCCCACCCCGAGGTATTTGACAGCTCAAGAGTCCCCACCCCCGGGAATTTGCCATCCAAGGCAAAAAAAAAATGCTTATGCCCGGGGTCAGCCCTGGGGGGGTGGAGGGGCTGGTCGCAGCTGGAATTGACTGATGCATAACTCCCTAAAGTGTTTTTCAGGTGCAAAACTACATTAAAAAGATAGGCAAAGAGCTAAAGAAATAGTAAAGACAGTAAAAAAAGAGGAAAATATGAGAGGAAGGAAAGAAAGTCAAATACAAAATCAAAAATAATAAACATTGGATAAAGTAAGGTATCTACATTTTCATACAGACTGTACATAGATTAATCAAAAGGAAATTCCAAGACAGTTAGTGATGTGATGTTTAACAGAACAAGCAGTTACGTTTTGCCCGAAAAGCGAGTTTGTTAAAACCGGTAATTTTTTCTTACGTTTCTATATATTTTTTTCTTTTTCTCCTACTTGATTCGTTTGCCTTCTGTTTCTCTGTTTTCGGAAAACAGCAAAAAATGAGCAAGTTCATGACATATTATAACTGCTGTAAAGCGACGTGCGCCCGAGGCTGCTGACCAATCTTTGTCTGAATGATGACAAAGTGTAAAAACACGTGAATCAGAAATCCAAGATACATGGGCGGACCAGCGTCAAACAAAATGTTGAGACTCAATTCCTTGACTTCTTTCCTAAAAAAAGAAAAACTATATTCAGTCAACTCAACCTTCTAACCTCCGGCTTCCTTAACCCCTGACTCCTAAAACGGAAAAACGTCCTGATGCTAGTTAAGATTAAAAAAAAAAATTATCCATTTCAACACGACAGTTGTTGTTGCTAGAGTTAAGTGACGTTCAGCTGAGTTTTATTTGTTCTGGTAATTGTCATTGTCTGAATTTACAAACTAAAAGCATTATAAATAGTTATAAATTAATCCTTTTGCCAACCTGAGATTTGTATCGATCGGTCCAACATACTGATCAATCAGGGTTTCCGCAAATGTGCCAGAAATGGTCAGCATCACAGTCGGCACCAGAAAATGATTCATTTCGACATTAAGATTTCCCATCGGTACTGTTCGAGCATCCACCTTGAGGAACAGACCCATCAAAAATGCTGCGGCGATTCCACGAACGCTAAACTTTGCTGCATCCCAGGCAAAGTAAGAACTTGGGTTACTGATGTCAGTTCTGGCGCATGCCCAGTAAGCAACGATTGTTGCCTTCATCACCCAACAAGCGAATCCGACCGCACCCAGGCAAGAAACCTGCCAGAAACGATGTTATGGAAGATTATTCATTCAAAATATTTTTCCGTTTCTGATTGGTTAAAATCCCACGCATAATTCATCATAAACAGCTATTGTAGACCAGATTTGGAAGAATTTTGCGATATGTGAAAAATGACGTCAATAAGTGCAGTAAAATTGCCAGATTATTGAACCGTTAACCGACAAGACCTGGGGACGAGGTTGAGCTGTTTTGGTCGTGAGAACAAAAATGGCGAGGAAGAAATACGCGAATCATTGGCTAAAAACATAGCAAGAAATAGAGGAAGGCAAGTTGATGGACGGCATCTACTATTTGGAGAATATTTGCCGTGCTAAATGTTGATTTGTCAGAGTGAAGAACGAGGAACACGTCAAGAGTAGAACACAACAACATGGATTTATTCGTGAACCGCCATTACGAGAGCACATTCGAAGTGAAGGATCATGGGAACTAGAAACATACTTCATGTGTGCTACAATATACTATCAATAAACATCCCTTCTCGTTTAGGAAAATAACAATGGAGTTTCTTCGCAGCTAAATATGAAAGCCGAATCTTTCACTGAAGATGTCTACTTAAATAAGAGTAACAAGGAACTCTAACAGTTCTAAATAAAGCAGTTCAACTGATCAGAAACAGTCTCTACTTGAGTACATGGTCCTTAAAACGAATAGGTAATCTGCTTTCACGTTTAGGCCTCTCTGGTGCGTGACTCTTAATAGGAGTAGTTGCCTCACTATGCGAATGACTTTCTTTGGCCTCAGCGCCAGTGGTTGGAGTTTGAGGAACTGCAGGCACGGCTGAAGTTAATACTTGGTCAGGAGTACGAGACAAAACGATAGGATACACATCGCGAGGAGTTCATACTACTTTGGTGGGTCTTAAATGCACACGGATTCTTCTGTACTTGCCGCCATTAGCACCTTTCACTTGGTACGTATAAGGGCCTAAAATTCCAGTTACTTTGCCCCATTTCCAGTTCTGACCTTCTGCGTGTCGGTAGAATACTGACTGTCCAATTTCAATAACTGAGCGTTTGCGTGATTTCCGACCGTGATATGTTTTCACGTTGCGTTTTAGCGCATCACGTTTTTCTTTCACGAGAGTGTTCTTTGGGTTACTGCTTAAGCTTGGTAAGAAACTACGTGTTTTGCGGTTAAACATCATTTGCGCTGGACCCAACGCAGTTTCCTGACGAGAGGTGTTTCGTTGTTCGAGTATGGCTTCATAGGGATCGCCACCTTCCCTGTAAGTTTTGATCAGCAAGGATTTCATAATCTTCACCGCTGACTCTGCCTTGCCGTTAGCGCGTTGATGCATGGGTGATGATGTACGATGGGAAATACCCCAGCTTGTCATGAATGAGTTAAACTCTTGACTGGTAAATTGAGGACCTCCATCTGACACGATTACTCTTGGTATGCCGTACCGAGCAAAATGTTTCTTGAGAAGAATTATAGTACGGGTCCTCGTTTGGCTTGTCAGTAGATCAATCTCTATGAAATTAGAGTAATAGTCCACTACAATCAAGTAGTGCTTTCCGGCGATTTCAAAGAAACCCAAACCAATCTTTTGCCAAGGTCCATCGCCTTCGTTGTGTTGTTTTAATGGTTCCTGAGTGTTTCGTGGCTTCATTTCTTGGCAGGTTTCACATGAATCTGCTAATTGTTTGATATCATGGCCCATGCCAGGCCAGAAAACAATGCCTCTAGGTCGACGCTTCATGCTTTCACAGGCTAGCTGTGCACTATGGAGTCTTTTCTTGATAGATGCTCTCAGTTCAGATGGAATTACTATTGCTTCTCCTTTTACTAAGATGCCATCTACTATACTGAGAGAGTCACGCATGTCAAAATAAGGTAAGGCTTGAGGGGGAATATTGTGCTTGTCTTGAGGCCATCCATCCCAGACTAACTTGATAACGGTTTGTAGGCTAGTATCGCGCAAAGTTGTTTCTCTTATCTCGTCCAAACGCTTATCTGGGATTTCAGCAAAGGCACATGTTCATGATTCGTGCACGGTCGTTCTGGTTACCTTCAACAGGGTCTAAATGAGCTCTACTTAAGGTGTCGGCAATTGGTAGACTAGTGCCTTTCACAAACACGAAGTTGACATCGTACCGGTTATAACGCATCATGATGTCTTGAAGACGCTTTGGAGCCATGGTCAGCGGCTCGCGTAATATAGCAGCAAGAGGTTTGCGGTCATTCTGTACTGTTACTGCACGACCATAAACATACTTATCAAATCGTTCAAGGCCATACAGGACAGCCAAGGCTTCTTTCTCTATCTGCGCCCAATTTCGTTCTGAAGGGGTCAATGTTCTAGATGCATACTCAATAGGGCGCCCTTCTTGGAGTAGCACAGCACCAATTCCATGTTTGCTACTGTCTGCTTGAATTACCACTTCTTTCGAGGAGTCAAAGTAAGCTAAGCAAGGAGACTCAGACAGATTTTTCTTGAGAGTGTTGAAAGCATCTTCACATTCTTTCGACCATACAAATGGGGTGTCCTTTCTTGTTAGAGCAGGGATTGGTTCAAGTGTTGCTGCAAGGTTGGGTAAGAACTTTGCCATGTTCTGAGCCGTGCCACAGAGGCGTTTCTCGCCTTCCACATCAGTGGGTGCTGGCATGTCTCGGATAGCTTGCACTTTAGCTTCGTCAACTTTCACACCGTCTTTCGTGATCCTGTGTCCACGAAATATGATCGCATCCAGACCAGTTTCCTGCTTATCCTCATTTAGGATAATGCTCTTCTCAGCACACCTTTTCAATGTCACTGCTAGTTTTTGCTGGTTGTCACTCTGAGCTTCAGCATCTGAGTTGCCACACCATATAATGACTACATCATCCACTACATTGAATACACCATCGAGATCACCTAACGCTTCATCAATCTTTCGCTGGAAAATTTCCCTTGAGGCTTTGAGGCCAAAGGGTAGCCTCTTCCACATGTAGCGACCAAAAGGTGTAATCATTGTGGTGAGTTTGCTGGATGCTTCATCAAGTCGAACATGCCAATATGCGTCTTTTACATCTAGTTTGCTAAAGATCTTCGCATCTTTAAGCTTTGGAAGCACATCATCAAGCACAGGTAATCGGTAATGTTCACGCTTGAATGCAGCATTTAGGGGTTGAGGATCAATACAAACGCACAATTTACCATTGGGTTTATGTACAACCGCCATTTGACTGACCCATTCAGTTGGTTCGGTCACTGGAACCAGTACGCCTTTGTTTACAAGTCGATCTAGTTCTTCCTTTACTGCGTCTTGAATGGCAATAGGAACTTTCCTACAAGGCAGTACTTTGGAAGGAACACTTTCATCAATTCTGAGGGTGGCTTCACCCAGATCACCAAGTTGCTGGGTTGATACTTGTGAGATAAAACATTCTTTATTTATGGTTATAAAACCAAGTTCCTGAATAGTGTTCAGACCTAACAGGTTTGTAAAACCATTTGGGACCACGATAAACTTTATTTCGGATTCAGAACTAGTGTGAGGATTTTTGACTTTCAGGCGCGTTTCTCCCTGAGGTTTCAGGCTAGTATTATTCCACATGTTAAGGTGTACAGTTGTAGGAGACACTTGGTGTTGTCTTACATGCTTCTGACAGATGGTATTTACATCAGCTGCAGTGTCAAGTTGGAATTTGACATCAATATCATTTCAAGTGAGTGTGGCAGTAACACTGTCTGTCCTATTGCTTATAGACATGAGCCATTGATCATCAGAATCTTCCTCATTATCATTGGATTGGTTAAGTGCATGAATATTTTTGCATTTAGACTTGAAGTGGTTAAGACCTTTGCAGTTGTCAAATGTCTTGCCCAAGCAGGACATTTGTCTCTTTGTTTTTCATGTTTGTGTCCACAAAATTTGCAGTTGAATTTTAACTTTCCTTTCCCTTTGTGTGAGGTTTTGTTCATTTGGGAACCTTTCTTGCCACGGGGCGTTTTAGTTTCAGAGTTTGTTCACACTTGTGGAAGAACTTGGGAGGGTTGCACTTTCTCTGAATTCTTTGACTTGTCTATTTGACTGTTCGAAAGCTCAACAAATTTTTACTGCTTTGTCGAGCGTCAAATTGTCTTCCCTGAGGAGTAATTCTTGAAGTTTTCCAGTCACAATAAAAACTATTTTGTCTCTCAACATCCGATCTTTTTCCAGAAAATTGCACGCGGCTGCTCTTGTTTTTAGCTCCGTGAGAAATTTGGCGAACGGTTCCTGGTATGGAATGGTCCAGAATCTGTGAGATTCGATGACTTCATTGTCACGCGGGTTGCAGTATCTTTCCAATACTTCAAAAACTTTATCAGGTTTATCTTTATCGCTGTCATCTGTCCAAATAAAAGTATCGTACACCTCGAGAACATGAGAGCCTGCACGGTTTAAAATGATAGCAGTTTGTATTTTCTCGTCCTTCTCTGAAGTCCAGAAGCTGCTAAGAACACTTCCACTTGCCTTTTCCACCGTTTGAAGTTCTCGGATACATTTCCCGAATTCACATCTAGTTAGGGAGGAAGTCTAAACTGTCCGGTTTCTGTAGCCGTCATTTCATTAACTAAATCCCGAAGCTGCCACCATGTTGATTTGTTAGAGTGGAGAACGAGGAACACGACAAGAGTTGAACACAACAACATGGGTTTATTCGTGAACCGCCATTACGAGAGCACATAGTTCGAAGTGAAGGATCGTGGGAACTAGAAACATCCTTCATGTGTGCTACAATATACTATCAATCAGCACTAAAAAAAAACACTTTATCTCCTAAAACTTTGCGGATTAACATGCACTATCCAAGATGAACTTAACATCGATGGAGGTAAGCATGTTTTAGCTTGTTTTTGAACTAGGATTATTTTGAATGAATAATATAAAAACAATTATTGAATTCGGCTTTTGTATCACCCGAAGAATTATGGAGATCGAGGAGGGTGTTATCCGCCATCTCCATAATTCTTCAGCTGTGTTACGAAAGCCGAATTCAATAATTGTTAATATGTGAATTTTTTAGCTGCCCTGTCCCCTCCCCTTCATTTCGTCCAGTTTTTCATCTAATTGGCTTGAAGAAAAAGTTTTAGTCTGTCGACCTTGAAGAAAAGTTTATTAATGACCATTAGTAGAACGTTGCTCCCGGAATTCATAGAATTTTCAGTTGAATGGGAAATTCTGAACCAAGTTTGCCTCTGTTTCCAAATTTTCGAAACTTTTGGTTGAATGGAAAGAACTCCCTTTGTAACTACGACTTTGTTTATGCCAAAAACTATTATTCGTCTACGCTAGGCGCTTCAATATGAGAAAGAGCAAGCTTTCCATTTCTAGTGGTGAGCGAAGCAAGCTGCAAGACATTTGTTTAAGATGGAAAGCTTGTGGGCAGGCTATAAATTGCAATCAATAAAATAAAATCTGTCGAAAGATGATTTTACAATAACTGAGCGATTTCTCGCGCGCTGATTGGTAGAGAGCTATGTTTGATAAGAGTACAAACCATTGATGGTGGCGCAAAGTGTTTTCTTCTTTCTCTCGCCCGCCACTTTGTAAGGAAGAGGAGGAAGTTCAACCGAAATGAACGTCAAAGGTGTCAATGTTATCGTAAAATTACCAGTCGACAACAACTTTCTATGGTTTGTATCCTTATCGACCATAGAAATTGCGTCAAAACGATCAAAACTTTGCATCGAAATCACTCGCCTGCGGCTCTTGGTTCCACTCCAGTTTTGAACATTTTGGGACATTTTGACGTTATTTTTATGTTCGATAAGAGTAAAGACCATGGAAAATTGTTATCGATTTGTTAAACGAGACGGAGACAAAATCAGCTCATTACATTGCCGTGCGTGCAAGATTGGATGCGTGAGTTTTGGTTAGTGATCATGAGAAACGGTTGTGCGCCTTTTCATAGCACTCACAGCACATGTACTGCAGTAGATTTTATCACGTACTTAACATAATTTGAACGTTCGTATTACATTACCATAATTTTGACTCCATATGAACCTTTGTTCTGTTCCTCCGATTGTAAATTATTTTTCCAAAAGAAAAGCGTTCCAAAAACAATGATTGACAAGTTTACAAGAACTGTGACTGAGTGAACCCATGGAGGCGTATGAAGCTTGGGTACATAATAGAGGGCACAACAAATTGGTGCAGACAAGCTGGTGAAGCCGACTATGAATCCCAGGTTCCGCAATCTTTTTTCTGACAAAGTTAAATCTCTTCTCGTGGTGGCATCATTTTCCCCAGCCTCGCCATCTGAGTCACCTAGTGAATGCTCAAGGAACAGTAGCGAGCACAGAAGGCGATAGTCAATGATAAGCGCCTTGTAAAACATTGCAACTAATTCAAACCACTCACCGTAAATGTTTTCGGATCCACTTAATTTTACATCATTGTTCTCGTTCACTTGAGAGTCTACCCATTCGATGAAGTTGAAAAATGATAGTATTTGAAAATAAAACCGGGCACTTTCTTTGAAGTTCTGAGAAGTTACTTTATATCTGAGAATGATGTAAACGATCGCTTGAACAATCTTCTGAGTGAGAAATGTTATCTTGTCTGAAAGAACAAGGCCCCAGTCATGGTTGTTGAGGAATGGTTCTTCACGTTCCGATGATCCGAAGGTCGAAGAAACAAGGAAAACTTCAACGATAATAAGCGGGATCGTTATTGTTGCCACAACGAGTCCCATTGAAGGTTGCTGTCGCTCAAGGGTACGGTGATGATTATTGTCATCTGCTTTTGTAAAGAAGAGGAATGCGCCAAAGATCGTGAATGCTATTCCAATAACAAAGCCTGTGGCGATGCGGAAGTAGCTCCTCATCTCAAGCTCGTTTTTAATTGCGAATATGTTCACAAAAACCAGCAGAGCCCCGATAAGAAAGAGCATAAAGTTAGCTTGAGATGTAAAGATCTTGACGCACGGCTTGTAACAGACGCCGAGAATGCTCAAAATGAGAAGCAGCAGGTAAAATAGCGTCGAATATGATGCGACGATGACCTGAGAAGCAAACATCGTATTGTTTATATCCTGTTGGCTCACTTCAGGAGACGAATTCTCTTTGGTTAAAGGTGGAAGACCGCTCCAATATTTCATATTTGAGGCTTTTACTTGTTATTCATTATATACCAGTACCTTGAAAAAATGGGCTTTGAGTTTTGAGAATTAACCCGTTGTCCGTCCTGCACCTGGTACCGATTCTCAGTAAACAGGAGGTTTATGAAAAAGAAAGTGAAGTGTCTGTCCGGAAATCACTCAAGGGGTTTAAGGCCTGGGTCAAAGGCGTGTTCTGATAATACGAATGACTGGCAATATCTCTCGCTAGGGGACCTAGAACAAAATGAATTTTTCCCCAAAAGTAAATAGTGATGTTTTCTTGTGCCTTAACGTTTAATTATGGTCACATGACATCCAGAAATTGAAAACGAAGAAATTGGCGACTTGCATTGGTAGCGGATTTAATTTGTTTGGATAAACAACTTGGTATTTCTGAAAGAGGATAAACATACCTAACTTTTTACGTTTGGAATGAAAGAATGTACGCGAAGTTTAAAATTAAAGTTTTGAATAATTCAAGATTAAATTTAGGCATTTAAAGTGATGTTTTCCCTCATAATTTTCCATTTAAGTGCAATGGACGGTCATTCCAAACGTGAAGTGTTAGAAATATTTAATATGAATTAGAAAAATGTTACTGCTCGATTTCTTTTCTTAAACCGGCCACCAATTGGTCAATAATTTACAATTTTTACCAAATTGGTCACGTGACGTAGCACCTGACTTATTAACACAATATTTATACTTTAAAATGTTAAGGACAATGAGTTCTTTATGTGTACAAACATTAACCACAAAGGACCGCAAACGAATATGCCGAAAGTAGGATCTATAAAGACCTGATCAGCAAAAATACTAAATAGACATATATGTCTACTTATAATTTTAGCTGATCAGAACTTTATAGATCCTACGTTCGGCATATTCGTTTGCAGTCATTTGCAGCCCTTTGTGGTTAATGACGGTTTATACTTCATGTATTTTGGGGCCGTAGATTTTTTATAGATCCGATATGCTGTAATTTTTGCACGGTTCTGTCCATGCAGTTATAGGTTGGTTTTGGCCAATCCTTTATTTTCTTTGCGAGACATCAACTTGACACTTGGACTCTTGCCCCTCAGAAGACACGTGATGTGGCGTGATTCTGTGGGTGTTGAGAGTTCTAGCTTAGGGCTTAAATCAGAGTGCACGGATATTTTTCATCAGAGCTTTCTTTGGTTGCTACGCCGTGTTGACGTGTCTATGGCTACAACCCCGCTCTGTTTTGAGTTCTTTCGGTGTTGTGCTAATGTCTTGCAAAGTTAATTTTCACGTAGTACGATCAGCATTACAGTATTAATCTTTATGTGTGCTAAATTTTAATTCATCGCCATCATCTATGCCCGAAGTTATAGCCAATAATTCATTTTCCACAGGTAAACCCCTTAGTCCCAGCCCTTAAACTACTTGAGCAAATAACATTGATTTCAAAGCTGTAAAGGCAAGAGTTAATTAGAGGGCATCGCGGACTATTATTTTAGTAAGCGATTATTGAATGTGATGTAGTCGAGGGCCGCGCAGAAATGGGAAATTTTCAGTCTGCACAACGTACACCTGTCCGTCTGTACTTGAAAATCCTCTGCACGACAACCTTTTTAACGTGCCAATTAACAAAATCAAAATGAGAGGCATTAGGGTTTGCCCCCTCGCCTCAGTTCTCTAGGATTTCGAAGATGATCGTTCCACTCCCCCTCTGTTTTTTTTTCGTTTTTTTTTTCCCAGACGATAGAATATCTGCACCTGACGTTTACAGTAGCTGTTCATTTATCCCTCGCGCGCATTTTGAGACAAGTTTAGTGGTCAGTTACTATGCCTACGAGATATGACGTAATAAGAAGAAGGTGGTCAAGCCATTTTTGAGCGAAAATACATGTTTCTTTTTTCAACTTTTTTTTCAACAATAAAAGTAAAACTTGTATGAAATGATGCTAAGTTCTTTTTCATGTTCTATTTTACGTGTCAAGCACCAAAAATTACCATTTATCGCAATGTTAACCTGATTTCTAATTCTTGGTAAAATCCAAGATGCCGACCATTGTTGGTGACGTCACAGGTCTCCAGCAGCACCACCACATATAAAATATACCTCATCTAGTTGAGAGGATAAAAGGCTTTCCAATGAAGCCAAAATCGTTTAGAAATACTGCAAAATATCAAAAACTCTGGGGAGAAGTTCCATCAACCCCCCCCCCCCGCCCCTCAGTACAACGGTGGGGGTATGAATTTGCGTGTGCGTTTGGCTGTGTATGCAACGCGGCTACATGGAGGCTAAACAAACAGAGATAAGTTTGGGTATGTAAGATACGCAGTTATGACATAAATTTTTGGTTCCCGCTTGTAGAATAGTAGAGTATCGTATTACGTAAGCGAGGGAATAAGAAGAGTTCAAAACTTGCAAAATATGGAAAATTGAAATATTGAAAAGAGCATAGCAGCAGTGATCTCTGAACATTTCAGCCCGATATAGCAAACAAGTTTTGGAGAAAAAATAAAAAAAAACAGAAAAGAATGTATTGCTCATGACTCTTTTCGTCACTCAGCGTGAATTTTGCAGTTTTGATGGCGGCAGTAGTTCATTAGATATTTCTTGCAAAGAGTATAAAATAACACAAATTGCCCAAGTAACCTTGCACCTCATTAAACTTTGGACTGGCTTAATTTCAGTACAGCCATATACGTCGACGCGAAAAATGTAAACATTGCCGCCAGCAATATAAGAAGAATTGTGGGTCAGATTCTCGGACCTACAAGTACAGTATTGGGGAAAATTGTGCTTTATTTCCAAGAAAAAGGGAAAAGCTAATACTCCAACTTGGAAGACTTCCGAGGGTCATTGGTGCATTAATTACCTAACGGTCGACAATTGAACCGTTCAATTTCTGGTATCGTGTATGTTCGACAAGTGACTACAGGATGAAATCCATCTAGGTAATTGAATGCTGCATTTGACGCCTTGTCTTGTTTGACGTTGCTTTTCCGAGAAAGACGAACACAATCCTTATTGCATTTGAAGTGTCTCAGGTCATTAAGCTAAGCTAGATTACCAGTGTTGCTGCAAGAAAGCCTAAGTTAGTATTCAAGAAGAATCTTGAGACCATGAAAGTTAATCTAACGGACGTTTTGAGAGGTGAAGGCCAAGATGTGGCTTCTGAGAGCTTTGTCTCTTAGCTGCCGCGGCCGCACCACAAGATATAAACTCAACAAAGACCGCATTTGAAGTGATCATCGCTTTGGGAGCAGGAATGTTTTACTTAGCATTGTGCATGCTTAGCGTACTCGATGTTTGGTCAACTTCTTGTGTCAGACTTTGCTCTTCTCGAAGAACGTTTCTTGTTTTCTTCATTGGTGCATTGCTCGCTTCTGTGAATGTCTTCTCCAACTCCGACAACCTAGAGGTCAAGCTATACTTCCGTTTATCTGCCTTTATGTTTGTCGGAATAGCTTACACTTTGTTTGGTGCTTCTCTTTTCTTCTCTCTGCCAGACGAAGGAGAAAATCGACAAACTTTGGGTCAACAACAGCCTTCAATGGGGTGCGTTGTTGGTGTGGTGAAATTTTATTACATATCGAAGCCGTGCTTTTGGCATTTGCTTGCACGAAAGGCGCTAAGAATGCGATACCCGTAGATCCCTCTGAGAAAACAATCACTTGGATCTTGATTATTATAGACAAGTCAGCTTTCTTCCTTCAAAAGTCTTTTCAGCTTGCCATATACCTCTACTTGCGGACCACCTGTCTTAGTTAGCAAGAATTCAAAGAGAATGCTGAATTTTGCTTTAGAATTATGTCCTTCTTCAACTTTATCGAGTGGATAGACGCTAAGGTGAACGTGGAAATTGATGTTGCCCTGAGTGGACCTATCATTGATGAACTCGATGGATGGTTTAATGTTTTTGTAGTTGGTTACAAGGCGTTGATAATAGATTACCGTTTGCTATGTTGTTTCCTTTTTCTGGAGCATTCTGCAGAAATTCCAGATGTAAATCAGCTTCCTGAGGTCCCAGAAAATGAAGACGTGCTTAATTGTATGGCTTCAAGGGACCATCTTAAGATGTATGCAGGGTTCTTTTTTGCTTGTTTGTGCATTACTGCACCTGTTCTCTGTGGACTATATTTCATTCAAAGCCTTCACATTCGAGGATTCATCCAAGTATTCGCCATAATTGTCAACACGGCAATGTTTGTTCTCGCTGTATATTTCCTTTACAGCAATGATTTAGAAGAAGGCGAGATTTCTGAATCAATTGGAGTCAAAATCATGGTAAGTTCCTTTATTTTTTGATTTGGATTCGTTTAAGATGTTTTCAAGTGGATTTGATCTGACTGATTTAAACGGCATTTTTCAACCGTTTTAGTCTTTACATAGAGTATATGAGTCGAGTATATTTCGCTAATTACCTTCAAAGAACAAGACGGACTAACACAGAGAGACCATTAGATGGAGCTTTATAGACGCACTTTTACTTCAATGCCAAACAAGGAACGCTTATACCATTGTGGCACTTAGTAAATTATTTTGCTGAGAATGCATCTGTGAACTGCCGCCCCCCTTCCCTCGAAAAAAGAATGTTAGACCCAGGAGGTAGACCCAAATTAGAGTGTGGTTAGTGTCGTCCATGAAAAGCTCAACGTTTAGCCTGGGCTAAGGTGAGACGATTTTGTCGAAAAATGTCTTACTACACGTATAATCTCTTAGTTTTAGTGCCCGTTACTTTTTCGTTTATATCTTCTTTTCAGTTGTGAAATCAAAGAGGAAGGTTTGAAGATTCTTCTGGAGGTCGGGCCCCCCATGTATGTCGGATTCTTGATTCACGTGTTTCTACACTTTCTTATACTTTGGTCAAATCTTGGTAAACGACAGGCAGGTCTAGAATATTCTTATTAGACTATCGAATCAGTTTCTATTTCACGCTATACATCATGTATCAGTTCACAAGTATCACTAGAACACAAAGGAGAAGACTTAGAAGTCCTGCATGAGTCAGTGGCCGCAGCTCCATCGCCTCCTGTCCAACAACAAGGGGACGTGTGAGACGGAAATTAGAAGAATTTCTTATGGCGTTGGAACATGTAGATGATACTGATAATTTTCAGATTTAAAGTTATTGATCGTGAGAATAATTATGCTGCAGAAACAGTTTTACAATCTTCAGTAACATAATTTTAAATAACATTTCGCAGAACTATTATCATTGCTACACACGGCTCTATCTGGACAATCAGTTAGTTTTTTTGTATTTGTTTGCGTTGTTTCACCTACACATTTTAGTATCTTTTTCTCACTGTTAAGCAATAATGTCCAAAAATGACCTCACAAGGTCCAATCAGCCAACATATCAAAAGAAATTGATTGAGTGAATATTCAGGTGTAGAAACCTTTCCGCAGAAAATGTGGCTACTCACGAGTGAGGTGCAACTTTAATTTATGGGTCAAAAACTAAGGGAGCTTTTTTGGTGGCCAGCTGACATGAGCTGACAACGCACTGCGACTTATCAGCAAGACCGACCTTGAGAGTTTGATTACGACTTCCGTGAATGCTCTATTAATCCCTCCTAATAAGTCCTCCCTATTTAGGGGAAGAAAGTTAAAAAGCCCCCCTTCCCTCCACTAATTACTCTTCACTAATAAATGATAGACGTCATGATAGACTGTAGTAATCAATGACGACTGTAAGTTGAAAAACTTTGTGTGGACTTATCTAGGATGTTTTGTTTACCAGTTGGAAGTTCGGATCGGATTTGTTTTCGATCCTCAGCTGCATGGCTTCAGCTTCTTGCAATTGAGAACTAATAGCACCACCTTTGCTAATTTGAATAAACCTCCCCCTCTCAAATAAGCCCTTCCTCTTTATTAAGCCCCCCCCCTCCCCCTCACCCAAATGTGTTTGAAATAAATAAGCTCCGGGAGGCTTAATACAGGATTTACGGTATAACACAAAATAGTCGAGTACCGTCACTGTACCGTGGACTATGACTTTGCAAAGTAGGTGACCCTGCCGTTGTATGCCAATGTAATGTATTACAGTAATTATAATTTAATTAAGTGACTGGAAAATAAATGCTCCTACCTTTATTCTTTTCATTGCTTATATCATCGTGCTGGGGTATATAGTAGGGAAATTGTAGTCCTTCTTAAGTTTTTGCCGCTGCAATAGCAGCATTTCATATTAGAAAGAATGAGCCTGCATGCATGTGATGTCTGTGATTGCCTGTAACAAGCTCTACTTTTCAATGCAAAAATGTTATGGCATGTGGCTGAGTCAGGTAACTTTATTCATGTAAACCTCATCCTAGTGCTTCAATGACAACCTCATTCCCAGGGTTGTATGGTCTTCTTTGCCGCCTTCGTTGTCATGGAGACCCTGGGTCCCGTTTAACAGGCCTGGAAAGCTGTTGTTGTTCATATATTCAATGATAGACGTTTCTATAGTTTTCCAAATATTAAACATGATAATCGATAAAAATTTCAGAGTGAAAGATAACCAGCCTGTTCACAGACCCTCTTTTTTTCTCTTCAAAGTGCGTCGAGCACGCAGGGGGGATTTATCGACTGCCGGCGCAAGGGGTAGAGGTTCGAAAGGTGAACATTTTTCTTTCTCGCGCTTCACGCTCGCCGATGTTTTCGAAAAGAACGAAAAGAAAGATAGACAATGTCTGTGTACAGGCTAGACGAAAACAAAACGGACTGGTTTCGTAGCCAGGGCCCGCACTTTTATTCTAGCTTCAGATTTTGATTTGAAAATACGACTACTTGTAGGCATTGGTGTTGGTGGCGATGTGTCGGAACTTATCGGGGTGGTTTGAGCGTGTGCGATCGAGGACGAGGGAAAGACGAAAGGGTTTAACCTGTTTCGTTGCAGTCTGCAAGTAGTCTTTCTTTTACACTGACCGGCTGACAAACCCTGTGGATGCTGTTAAGAGAAAGTCTCCCTAAAAGTGGTCCACTCGATTTCTCCACAAAAAATAGTTTTCCTTTATTTTTTGTCGGTGAAGAGGCTTTAGTAGGTATATACTAAAATCGCTTTTTTTGTTTTCAAATTCTTATTCTTAGCTCTGCTACAAGCCCAAAAGGAATTGAGTCTGTCTCGGCCTCTCAGAGAGTGTTTCAAAGCCGAGACTAAAATTGATGGATTTTGAAAAGCGCGTTGCAAACACAGGAATGCTCGCACAAAAAAATCTGTTCGATTCAGTTTTTTTAGTTAACCTTCGATAGTTCACAGGCTAAACACCACCAGTGGCTCACACCTTTTTTCTTTGGTAGTATAATGTTTAACATGACGTCCTTTTTGGTCCTTGACAACAGTATTTCCTTATCCGAACACAGAAATCTTGTTAATATTAGTTCTACCAGTTCTATGACAGACGCTTTCTGTTTGCCGGGTACTGCTCTGGTGCCTTTTGCACATAATAATATCAGTTAATGTGCCACTGGGTCATTGGCGGGACAGAAAAAAGTCAGAAATAGCATTTCTATTTGCAAAACTTTGTTGTTTTCAGTCATTAACATCAACGATTTTATTCAGTATAATTAATGGAATGTCACTTAACTGCTAACTTTTCAATTCTCAGTTACCTGCTAATTTTTTGGCCAATTATCGGTTAACTGCTAACCCCATTGGCACCCTCCCAGTCGTCTGTGCATAGCAAATCCCCTGCATGACCTTTTTCAACATGCATGTCAGCTAACCAAATGAAGATAAAAGGCATTAGGGTTTTTCGCCTCGCATCAGTTCCCTAGGATTTCGAAGATGATCAGCCGAGTATCCCGATTTAAACCATGGTGACTGGCATTGTTTAAAAGCATTAACCCTCTGTACGATCTTGACTGCGCATGCCACGCAGCTACATTGAATCTACACGTTTCTACACGGAGGCTGAACAGGTCCGTGGAATGCTTTTACTTTCAAAAAAAGAAAAAAACAAACAAAAAGAGATGAATTGGGTACGTAAGATACCGCAGTTATGTCTTTAGCTATGAGAGGATCACTGGGTGGGAAGCGGAAGCCGCAGTGGCTTAAAAATTAGACAATCTATATTAAGTAACGGTTGACTCCAGCGCTTGAGAACGCATCAAAAGGATTTGATTGAGAGAATAACGAGAGTTCAATTACCTTGCAAAATGTGGAAAATATTAAAAAGAGTATAGTGATAGTGATCTCTGAAAATTAGAGGCCGATATTCCAAACAATTTTGGAGAATTAAATTATTGAAAAAAGAAAGAAAATTTCTCAAAGAATGTATAATGCTCGTGGCTATTTTTGACACTCAGCAATTTTGCAGTTCTGATGGCGGCAGTATTCCATCGGATTTTTTTTCCAAAGAGCTTAAAACAACACAAATTACTCAAGCAACCTTGACCCTCTTTCAACTATGGACCTTAATTTGCATTTACATCGACGCAAAAAATGTAAACATTGCCGTCAGCAAAAGTTCGCGTATAACGAAGTTAAGAGTGCCGATTCTAATGTCTGGTGCCATTTCTGGTCATAAGCCTGGAAATACTCGAGGGGCCAACTATAAGAGACCCATAAGAAGAATTCTTGGATCTGCAAGTAAAAATTGTGCTTTGCTTCCAAGGAGGAAGTCAAAGCTAACACTCCAACTTGGAACTTCGGAGGGCTAACTCATTGGTGCATTACCTAGCTGTTGACAACTCAACAGTTCTGTTTCTATATCGAGTATGTTCGGCAAGTGACTAAAACGAGCAGAGAGCTACTACATGATGAAATCTATCTAGGTAATTGAATTCAGCATTTGACGTATACTTGTTTGACGTTGGTTTTCCAAGAAAGACGAACACAATCCTTATTGCAGTTTAAGTGTCTCAGGTCATTAGTCTAATCTAGATTGTCTGTTTTGCAGCAAGCAATCCTAAGCTGGTATTCAACAAAGAATCCTGGCCATGAAAGTTAATCTAACGGACGTTTTGGGAAGTGAAGGCCTAGATGTGGCTTCTGAGAACTTAATACCCTGCAAGCCAACAACGCCACATGATCTAAATACAACAAGAACCGTATCTGAAGTGATTGTCGCTTCGGGAGCAGGGATCTTTTACTTAGCATTGTGCACGCTTAGCGTACTCGGTGTTTGGTCAACTTCTTGTGCCAGACTGTGCTCTTCTCGAGGAACGTTTTTTGTTTTCTTCATTAGTGCATTGCTCGCTTCTGTGAATGTCTTCTCCAACTCCGACAACCTAGAGGTCAAGCTATACTTCCGTTTATTTGCCTTTGTGTTTGTCGGAATAGCTTACACATTGTTTGGTGCTTCTCTATTCTTCTCTCTGCCAGACGAACGAGAAAATCGACAAACTTTGGGTCAACAACAGCCTTCAATGGGGTGCGTTGTTGGTGTGGTGACATTTCTTATATTTTTACTCGAAGCCGTGCTGTTGGCATTTGCGTGCACGAAAGGCGCTAAGAAAGCGATATCCGTAGATCCCTCTGTGAAAACAATCACTTGGATCTTGATTATTATAGACAAGTCAGCTTTCTTCCTTCAAAAGCCTTTTCAGCTTGCCATATACCTCTACTTGCGTACCACTTGTCTTAGTACGCAAGAATTCAAAGGGAATGCTGAATTTTACTTTAGAATTATGTCCTTCTTCAACTTTATAGAGTGGATAGACGCTCAGGTGAACGTGGAAATTGATGTTGCCCTGAGTGGACCTATCATTGATGAACTCGATGGATGGTTTAATGTTTTTGTAGTTGGTTACAAGGCATTGATAATAGATTACCGTTTGCTATGTTGTTTCCTTTTTCTGGAGCATTCTGCAGAAATTCCAGATGTAAATCAGCTTCCTGAGGTCCCAGAAAATGAAGACCGATTCGTTAATTGTATGGCTTCAAGGGATCAACTTAGGATGTATGCGGGGTTCTTCGCTGGTTGTTTGTGTATTACCGCACCTGTCCTCTGTGGTCTTTATTTCATTCACAGCCTTAACATCGGCGCATTCGTCCAGGTATTCGCCATTATTGTCAATACGGCAATTTTTGTTCTCGCTGCATATTTCCTTCACAGCAATGATTTAGAAGAAGGCGAGATTTCTGAATCAGTTGGAGTCAAAATCATGGTAAGTTCCTCTATTTTTTGATTTGGATTATTAAATTATTAAATTATTTTACTAGGGTAATACATCTGTGAACTGCCTCCCCCCTCCCCTCAGAAAAAAAATGTTCTCTTATCACTCTGCAGTCTTCAAATCAATTTAGAACCACCTTATATGATTCCACTATTTGCTATGGGAGTCAAAATTCAACAATATTTTCCGTGTTATCAATTTTATTTAAAGCTGCTTAAATTAGTACCATGGGATAGTACTTTATTTCCAAAGAGGTCTGACATTTGAATGGTAACACGAAACAGGATTTCATCCACAGAGTCAAGAGGCTAAACCATCTTTCAAGATTCCATAATTCTCTCTGGGGGTGAAGGATTACTCTCTTCATAGGGCTGCTTAATTGAGATCACAACGCATGACTCACATTTCATTCTGTTATTTTTTGGGGGAAACGGTGTTGATTTGGGAAGGAAATAAATTAGAGTAGAAAAGGTATACACATAAACCAGTAGCCTGCGTAGCAAGCGTTTCCGTTTGGTTTCGGAGCAAAGAAAAACCGAGGAAGCGGACTTTCGGTTTTGACCGCGCGAGAAATGAAACGAGAGCCAAAATGTGAAAGAGAAGGGAGGCGCCATTTTTCGCGCGGTCTTTGACTCTCGTTCCTCGTTCTTTTCTCCTAAATCGCACAGAAACGCTTGCTACGCAGGCTAATAAACCAGTTAGTCCGCTAATAGAATCAGAGGCATCTTGTTGTGGTGGTGGACTATCTGGTAATTGTCTACTAATTATTTACTTCATCTTTTAAATTCTTAACAACCCCCAAATGCAATATTTTCTAATTTTTCCAATTTTTCATCAAGTTCTCAAAAAAAATATTGAATTAAGGGCTGCAACTAAGTGGAGCCATTTTTTGATTGAATGGAATCTAGATATTTAAGAAAAAGGGTGGAAATCAACGAAATATAATATTTTTAAACAGACTGTTCCCTTAATTCCAAAAGAGCTGACTGATAAGCTGACACATCGTTGCATGGCAAGCCTTAAATTATTTTTTACATTTGTCATGAGAATCCCGCATCCAAACAGGATACCGAACATCATTTTCTTTTCCGCATCCGTGGCCCAAATTTTGGCGAATTCCGCAATGTGCATTTTGGTCAAACTCAGACCCTGTAAATGATTTCATGTGACCACTACTTTTAATTTATAGGTTTGCTGCATGGGTGCTGTTGGCTTCACTTGTTGGTTAGTAGAAGCAGCTATTGCGGGCTACTGGGCGCAGACGGCTCCTTACAGAGACGACATAGACGACCAGTCATTTATGGGCTGGGATTCGGCAAAATTTCTCGTACGTGGGCTTACTGGAGCATTTCTGATATGCGTGTTTATGAGAGTAAATGCACGATCATTGCCATTTCAGAATCTAAACAAGAGATGGAATCATTTGCTCGTTCCTGTCATCATGTTAGGAATATTTTCAGTGTTTGGAGAAACCTTGCTTGACCAGTATAAGGGACCTCTCGATACCAGACTTCGGTAGGTGATAGTTTAATGCTCATGCCCGCTGCTTCCAGACTCTCTGTAAACATGAAGTTCTTGTCCCCAGTGCCACTTGGCTAATTAAATTTGACCACGTGACCAAAATAACGACAAGCTCTGGGAAGTAAAGTTATTAAACATGATGGCTCTGGGCTGGCTACAAAAGCTAAGAGAGCCGGCCTGGAAGCTGGGTTTGCACTTTTTTTTTGGGGGCGGGGGGTTGGGAGAAGAAAAATGTTTCAATGAGTATAACACAGTTAAAAGAAACAGTCTCAGAATGAGGAGAGGAAATTTGGGTCTCCTGATCTGCTTGTTGCATTTCCCATCCTCGAAGCCTCTAGGTCTCCAAAGATGCGCGTTTCCTTGAGGAGTTCGATTTTACAAACGTTGGCTCATCGATTTCAGCCTTTCTCCGGATGACTGAGAAAAATAAGGTACTGCTCATCTAGCCACACCGCAACAGAACATGAACGTCTTTGAAGTACAACATGTTTATCCTGTATATTTCATTGTATTCCAGCCCTTTAAAACAGAAGCCTATGAAGTCATTGACTGGCCCCATGTAAGGCAATCTGGATTTCAAAATCCGAGAAATTTTTGCTATCGGAATTTGAAATCCTGGGCTTTGGAATCTGGAATTCATTCCAAAGAATTCGAAATCCCGCTAACGTTTGGAATCTGGGATCCAAGTTCCACTTACAAGGAATCCGGAATCCATTCTTGGTGTTGTCGAAACCATTATGATTGGTTCGCTCAGTTTTGTGTCGTGGTGTTGGCATTGCTCAGTTTCTTTTCAATCGTCGTTTGGTGGTTGCACCTGTTCGCAACACCAAGAAACTGAATTGGAGCCTGTTTTGAATTACCTTACTTCTGGATGGATGAGCTTCAAAAATTCTATTCTGATTCTTAACAATGAAGTACATCTGCTCAGGCCGAGGCCAAACGTCTGACTTTTCATGAGACGCATGCACCAACCTTAGAGAGTTAAGTTCACGAAACGTTCGACTTCTGACTTAGATAAGTCGTCTTAAAGCTAAGAGTTTGGATCTTCCAACACAGTCTTTCTACCCGTCTGCTTCAGACGGATAAAGCGTCTGAAGATCATCCCCGTTACAAACGTCGATCTTTACTTGCGACGAACTAAATTAAGGTGTTTCGAAAAAGTTTTTCAGAGGCCACACTGATATTTTTCAATCGCCTTAAAAGTGGTTTTCTCCTTGTCCGATGGCTTTAAATTTTCACCATTAATTGGCTATGGATTAAAATTTGTGAAATTGTCGATTTAAGTAAAATCGATATTACTATGACAACAATAAACAAAAAGCTTTGAAACTGATAAAAGCCGAATTTTGTGTGATCTAGACCAGCCACTAGGAACTTAAAGTTTGGTGTTTAGCAAACAATCTCAGTAAGAAGTAAAAAAATTCTGTATCTATTTCAAACCTTGAATTTTCAACAGCCGTGATATATTATTTTATTAATAACAACGTTATAAATGACTCAAATTATTTTTAAGTAGCGTCAGAATGCTTCTTAATATCATATTTCGATGCTAGCAAATTTTGGTGTATTTTCGTTCTTGCGATCTTCAAAACTAACCCGTTTTCTCACCACCTGTATAAGTGCAACTTCATTGAAATTAGGACTTTTGGCGCTTTTTGTATATCTCTAAAACGGCTAGAACGAATTTTTTTAAAATCTCTTCAAATAATTTTCATAATGTATATAATATTGTCTGTAACTTTCATTAAGATGGATTCACTGCAACACCTTGAAATTTCAAGACAAGCCTATCCTACTTACCAGTCAAAAATCTGCGTCACAACATTCACTGTTTTGACGTTATGCTAATTTTTCCATAATAACGCGGACTTTATATACGTCCATGACTAGTACATTTTAGTTGGAATTTATCACATCTTTTGAATGCGGATTTTACTCGCGCATGAAATGTCCATGGATTAATTTGGAAAAAATTTTAACGTTGGATTTTTTTAGGACTTGTTTGAATGTGAAAATCTTAATGAAAGTTTGACATTATATCGCATTATGAAATTGTATTTTTGAAACAAATTTGTTCGATTTGTTTCAGAGATATACCAAAAAGCGCTAAAAGTCCAAATTTTAATGAAGTTGCACTTGGAGAGGTGGTGAGAAAACGGGTTTTTAAGATCGCAAGAACGAAAACACACCAAAATATCCTAGCATCGAAATATGACATTAAACAGCATTCTGATACTACTTAAGAATAATTTGAGTCATTTATAACGTTTTTATTAAATAATCTATCACGGCTATTGAAAATTTAAAGTTTGAACCATATTTTCGTTTTAGTCGAATTCAAACATACAGGATTTTTTACTTCTTATGGAGGTTATTTGCTAAACGCCAAACTTTAAGTTCCTAGTTTTGGATTCTCAGAAGCTGGTCTAGATCGCGCAAAATTAGGCGTTCATCAATTTCAAAGTTTTTTGTTTATTGTTGTCATAGTAATATCGATTTTACTAAAACCTACATTTTGACAACTTTCAATCTATAGTCAATCATTGGTGAAAATTTTATGGCGATCAGACAAGGGTAACATCACTTTTAAAGCGACTGAAAAATATCGGTATGGCCTCTGAAAAACTATATCCAAACACCTTAATAAATTAAACATTTGTTTGATAATATGTATATTCAGCCTCGTTGTGGAGAAAAAGTTTTAAGTTCAACGTCTGACCCAACAGACGATCTTAACTTTTAAATTGAGGTAGACCAAGATTAGAGGGTGGTTACTAGTCTCGTCCATGAAAAGCTCAACGTTTAGCCTAGGCTTAAGTGAGACGATTTGGCCGAAAAAGGTCTTACTACGCTAATAATCTCTTAGTTTCAGTGCACGTTACTTTTTTTATATCTCCTTTTCAGTTGTGAAATCAAAGAGGAAAGTTTGAAGATTCTTCTGGAGGTTGGGCCGCCCATGTATCTCGGATTCTTGATTCACGTGTTTCTACACTTTTTTATACTTTGGTCAAATCTTGGTAAAAGGCCAATTGCAGGTCGAGAAGATTCTTTAGCTTCTTTTTCAACCTTCGAAAGAGTCAGTTCTATTGCAACCCATGTATCCCTTGAACACGAAGGAGAAGACTCAGAAGAAGAATTTTTTAATGCGTTGGAACATGTAGATGATACTGATAATTTTCGGATTTAAAGTTATTGATCATGAGAATAATTATGCTGCAGAAGCAGGTTTTACAATCTTCAGTAACATAATTGTGAATAACATTTCGCATAACTATATTATCATTACTGCACACGGCTTTATTTGGTCAATCAGTTAGTTTTCTGTATTTGTTTGCGTTGTTTCACCTACACATTTTAGTTTCTTTTTCTCACTGTTAACCAATAGTGTCCGAAGATTACCTCATAAGGTCCAATCAGCAAACATATCAAAAGACATTGATTGAGAGAATATTGTATACGAAACTTTCCGCTTAAAATGTGGCTGCAAAAACTGCCTATAGCCTATACTGACTTAGGGAGACTCACGAGTGAGGTGCAGCTTTATGGGTCAAAAACTAAGGAGGATTTTTGGTGGCCAGCTGACATGAGGTGACAACGCACTGCGAGTAATCAGCAAGACCGACCTTGAGAGTTTGATTACGACTACCGTGAATCCTATATTAAGCCCCCTCCCCCCTAATAAGCCCTCCCTATTTAGGGGAAGAAAGTTAAAGAGAACCCCCACCCTCTCTCTCTTTTAAGCCCCCCTCCCCTCCCCTAATTATTCTTCACTAATAAATGAGAGACTGTAGCAATCAATCACGACTGTAAATTAAACTTTGTGTGGACTGATCTAGGATGTGTTATTTACCAGTCGGCAGTTTGGATCGTTGTTTTCGATCCTCGGCTGCATGGCTTCAACTTCTTGAAATTTTCCACTTTGCATTCTAGTTCTTTATTGAGAACTGATAGCATCACCTTTGCTAAATTAAATAAAACTCCCCATCTCAAATAAGCCCTCCCTCTCTATTAAGCCCCCCTCCCCCCAAATGTGTTTGAAATAAATAAGCCCCCCGGGGGGGGGGGGGGCTTAATGAAGGATTTATCGAGTACCGTCACTGTAGTACCGTGGACTATGACTTCGCAAATTAAGTGATCCTGCTGTTGTATACCAATGTAATGCATTGCAGTAATTGTAATTTAAGTTACTGGAAAATAAAATAATCCTTCTTCCTTTTATCTTTCCACTGCCTATATCATCGTGCTGGCAAGAGAGATCATTCTCTCTTGGTGCTGGGGTATATAGTAGTTGAGTTTTGCCTCTGCAAAGCAGCATTTCATATTAGAACGATTGAGCCTATATGCATGTAATGTCATTGTGTTTGCCTTTAACAAACTCTACCTTTCAATGCAGAAATGTTATGCGATATGCCTGGGTCAGGAAACTTTTTTCATGTAAACCTCATCCTAGTGCTTCAATGACAACCTCCTTCCCTAGGGTGCGTTGTCTCCTTTGCCATCTTCGTTGTCATGGATACCCTGGGTCCCATTTCTCGAAAGTCCTGATAACTAACAGGCCTGGAAAGCTGTTGTTGTTTATACATTCAATGATAGACGTTTCAATAGTTTTGCAAATATTAAACATGATAATCGATAAAAATTTTAGAGTGAAAGATAACTAGCCTGTTCACAGACCCTCTATTTTCTCTTCAAAGTCCGTCGAGCGCATGATAAAAAACAAAAACCGGGGGATTTATTGACTGCCAGCGCAAGGGGTAGGGGTGGGAAGGAGAACATTTTTCTTTCTCGCGATATTGCCATACTGCTCATACAGAACTCACTGCGCCTGTCCTCAAGTTGAGCGACTTTAGCAAATTGTAAAGCCTCCAAAGGTATAATATCCTTAAAGCTCGCCTTTAGACCCGCTCTATTTCACTAGGCAGATGGGCAGGAAGGATGTTATATCAAGCCACGCAACAGTAGTGTAGTCTTCAATGGAACGTAAGAGAGCGACGCAGATAGCAGCAAGGTCCACTGCACCTGACTGACGCCACCTCTATATATAACGCGGCTAATGTGCAGATGCGTAGCCTTGGATACAATCATATGCATACAGATGAGCTCATGCCATTTCAGATTTTCCTGGATAACTACACCTAGAACCTTCGACTCGCGAACTGTTTCGAGTACTTGTCGATCAATTCGCAAAGGGGATAGCTGATGCATTCCAGTGAGAAGAAATTTACTAATTTTCTGAAGCTCGAAGAGCGAAGTTCCCGAACCTCGATTTTTTAATTGTAATAAGCTCTCTTTTTTGCAATTATCGGACTTTCAAAACAAATCTGAATCTAATGTGCAGAAAATAAAGCGACTTTGTACGTGAAAGTTGTAATTTATTTAAAACATTTGGCCTCTCGCTGAGATAAAAGTTTGTTGTCATACAGGTAAAACATCATGGAGTGGTCCGAGAAACATTATGCAATTTTATGCTTAAATAATGAATCGGGTCGTGTGCGTTCAAGATTGGATCCGTGTGTGATGGCTAGTGGGAGACGTTTGAGTGCTCTTTGATAACATACGCAGATCTTAATTGTACGGTAGTGCGCTTTTTTTACATTATTACCATAATTTTGACTCCATCTGCACCTCCGATATCAAATTAGTGTTCCAAAGAAAAAGCCTTCCAAAAACAATGATTCCCACGTTTACCGGGAACTGCGAATGCGTGAACTCACGGAGGGATTTGAAGCCTAAACAGTAGATACGTAAGAGAGGGCGCAGCAAATCGGTGCAGACAAGCTGGTGAAGCCGATCATAAATCCTCGGCTCCGCAATTTTCTCTCTGATAAAGTTAAATCTCTTCTTGGGGTGGCATCGTTTCCCCCAGTCTGGCCATCTAATGAATGCTCAAGGTAAAGTGACGAGCATATCAAAGGCGGTAGTCTATAATCAGAGCCATGGGAGGACACAGAGGCTTTTCTGGAAGTACCATCCCACGCAGGGATGTTTTCTCCACGGGCAGCTAATCCGACTTAATCCCATTTAATATGTCGCGCTCCTCGAAAGTGTGAAAATTTTCTTGTCGTGTATTAGATTTCAGATACATTTTCTTAATCTTCATTTCGCGCCAGAATAAATTAGTTTGCGCGCAAAGGGCTCCTAAAAAAATCACAAGGTTTGTCCCACTTCGAGTCCACCTTCTGGAGATACGCCGGCTTGGTAGCTGGAATACATTGCCGAGGCGAAGATCTGGCATTTTTTCCTCCTTGTCGTATTTTCTTCACGACAAATGTTTATATTTGTAGTGAGAATGCAGCGCATATCGGTGGATTTTACTTCATGCGGCTGCCTACTTCTGAAGAAGAGTGCCGGATTTCATCGTTTTGTTCATGTTTATTAGTACTGGCAAATGTAAGGTAAATGAACCGACCACTGTAAGGTAAGAATTGAAGTTTTAAATTTGTTACTCGGCGAAAAATAGTGGGATTGGAATT